CCATCACCGTCAAACACCTCCTAAACACCGCCTTGAATCTGTCCAACACAGAAACCTAGTTTACTGACCTCCGATCAAAAAAGTGAGGTGACCATTCGACTCAGAAGGATCCGACGAGTCGACCGTCGCTGGACCCATCGCCGTCAGCCGCTGCACGCGCCACCACGCGCCGCCTTCCAGACGTTTTTTTTCCGTCGCGACTTGCACAGACCTTCTCGCCGGCTTCTCCCCTTCCTGTTCCAGAGGTCAGATCAAAAGTTTACAAAACTTGATTTTTCATCAACGGTCAACCCTTCTCTTTTTATTCATGGCTTCCTCAAAACACTCTTTTTATTACCACGAGCAACCTCCTAAGGCCACTAGTCATGTGGTCCAGCAAGGTACAACTTTCCATGTTGATAGTCAAAATCATTGGATCCTTGATTCTGGAGCCTCTGATCATATGACAGGTAATCTTGGCTTGTTTTGTTCATACACTCCATATTCTGAACCTTCTCGGGTCAAGATCGCCGATGGCAGTTTTTCCCAGATTGCGGGACACGGAACCATTAAACTTTCTGAGCTGATTACTTTGACATCAGTTCTTTATGTTCCTTCTCTGACTTGTAATCTCATTTCCATTAGCAAGCTCACCTCTGAGTTGCATTGCTTTGCTAAATTCTTTCCACATGGTTGTGTTTTTCAGGAACAGGACTCGGAGAGGATGATTGGCAGTGCTAGAGAGGATGGTGGACTTTACTACTTTGAGGAGGATGTGACTCATGAAGCTGTTTTCGTAGAAAAAAACTCTATGTTTCCTTTTGATTCATGTAATGATGTTATGCTGTGGCATCGTAGGCTAGGCCATCCAAATTTTATTTATCTTCAGAAGTTGTTGCCAAACTTATTTATTAATAAAAGTCCAAGTTTGTTTTCTTGTGATATTTGTCAACTTGCCAAGCATACTCGTGCTCATTATCCTTCTAAAGTTCACCATGACTCTTCCCCATTTTCCTTAATTCATAGCGACATATGGGGTCCAGCCCGTGTTAAAAATATTTCAGGTACTCGATGGTTCATTACCTTCATTGATGACCATTCTCGAGTTTGTTGGGTGTATCTTCTAAAGGATAAGTCCGATGCTGCATCCGTGTTTAAAAAATTTCATGCCATGGTTCAAACCCAATTCCAAGTTGCTATACAAATTCTTCGTACAGATAATGGCAAAGAGTATTTTAACTCTATTCTTGGAGAATATCTTTCCCAACATGGCATCCTTCACCAAAGCTCGTGTCCTGACACACCCCAACAAAACGGAGTTGCGGAAAGAAAAAACCGACATCTCCTTGAAGTTGCTCGGGCTCTTATGTTTACCACGAGTGTTCCTAAATATCTTTGGGGAGAGGCAGTTCTCACTGCCTCGTATCTGATAAATTGAATGCCATCTCGCATTCTGAAATTTCAGTCTCCTCTTTCTAGTCTTGTTCGTATCTTCCCTTCCTTCCGAGGTGTCTCCTCCTTACCTCTCAAGTTATTTGGTTGTGTTGTATTTGTCCATATTCCCTCCCATCAACGGTCTAAGCTTGATCCTAAGTCTCTCCAGTGTGTCTTTATTGGTTATTCTCCTACTCAACGTGGCTATAAGTGTTATTCACCCTCTCTTCGTAAGGTCTTTGTCTCTATGGATGTCACTTTTTCTGAGAATGACCCTTTCTTCCCCTCGACTTCTCTTCAGGGGGAGTCTATAGGAGTAGATGAAGATCAGTCATGGGAACCTATTAATGCCACAGTATTACCTCTACTTTTGGAAACAGGGGGAGCTACAGAATCCTCACCATCAGGAGCCTCCTCAACATGGGGACAAGTTTATAGCAGGCGAAAGCCTCCTCAAAGTGTGAATAACCCAGAGCCTCTACACTGCCAGGATTCTGAACCATGTTCTAGTTCCAGCACCCCAATACTTGAGTGTCATGGTGAAAATGATCTACACTTGCCCATTGCTCTCAGAAAAGGTACTCGATCTTGTACTACTCATCCTATTTCTAATCATATTTCATATGGAAAGTTGTCCCCAGGGTTTCGTGCTTTCAATACTATGTTGGATAGTACAAAGATACCGAGAAATATACATGAGGCTCTCAATGATAAAAAATGGAGGGATGCTGTCTTTGAAGAAATGAATGCTTTAGAAAGAAATGGAACTTGGGAGATAGTGACCCTACCCAAAGGAAAAAAGGCAGTAGGATGCAAATGGGTGTTTACAATAAAATTCAATGCAGATAATAGCATCAACAGATACAAGGCAAGATTGGTTGCAAAGGGTTTCACTCAGACTCATGGGATAGATTATCATGAGACTTTTGCTCCGGTTGCTAAAGTCAATACCATCCGAGTTCTCTTATCTCTTGCTGCCAATCTAGATTGGCCTCTGCAACAGTTAGATGTGAAGAATGCATTCCTAAATGGTGACTTACATGAAGAAGTCTATATGGATCCTCCACCTGGTTTTGAAAGGGGAAATGAATCAGTGTGTAAACTAAAAAAGTCTCTATATGGATTGAAACAGTCTCCCAGAGAATGGTTCGACAAATTCACACAAGCAGTCAAAAGAAGAGGCTTCATTCAAGCACAGACTGATCATACTCTCTTCCACAAACACTCTAAGGATGGTAAAATTGCTATTCTTATTGTATATGTAGATGATATAATTCTTACAGGTGATGATATTGAGGAATTGAACACCTTGAAGAAATTTCTAGCAGCTCAATTTGAACTCAAAGACCTTGGCACTCTCAAATATTTCCTTGGTATGGAAGTTGCTAGGAGCAAAACAGGCATCACTCTAACACAAAAGAAATATGTTCTAGATCTTTTGTTGGAAACAGGAATGTTAGGGTGTAAACCTGCTGAGACACCTGTGGAACCTAATACCAAGTTAGGTATTGAAGATGGGAATGAGGTGGATAAAGAACAATATCAGCGATTGGTTGGTAAACTAATCTACTTATCTCATACGCGTCCTGACATTGCCTTTGCGGTGAGTATGATTAGTCAATTCATGCACTCACCCAAGGAGAAGCATCTTAGTGCAGTCTATAGGGTGCTTAGATACCTCAAGAATACTCCAGGAAGAGGATTATTCTTTAAAAAGGGGTATAAAAGGACAATTGAAATCTACACTGATGCAGATTGGGCAGGCTCATCAGTAGACAGAAGATCTACCTCAGGCTATTGCACCTATGTGTGGGGAAATCTTGTTACTTGGAGAAGCAAAAAGCAAACAGTGGTTGCAAGAAGTAGTGCTGAAGCAGAATTTCGAGCTTTAGCTCATGGAGTTTGTGAAGGAATCTGGTTAAGAAGACTTCTTCAAGAGTTGAAGATTTCATATTCCCTACCAATAAAACTATATTGTGACAACAAGGCAGCTGTTAGCATTGCTCAAAATCCTGTGCATCATGATCGAACAAAGCACGTGGAAGTTGATCGTCACTTCATCAAAGAAAAATTAGATGATGGAAGTGTGCATTTGATATATGTTCCAACCAAAGAGCAAACGGCAGATGTCCTTACCAAGGGCCTACACCGTCCAGCATTCGAAGACTTGATTGGCAAGTTGGGAATGATCAATATTTACCTCCCAACTTGAGGGGGAGTGTAGAAAATTAGAATTCAAACATGTTTCCGTTTTTATTTCCTATTAATTAGGATTGATTATGATTGATTAGGATTGATTATGATTGATTAGGATTAATTGTGATTGATTAGAATTGATTGTGATTAGGATTGTGATAGGATTGATTAGTCATCGCTTAGTCATTCTTAGCGATTCTTTCTTGTATAAATACTCACTCATGTAATTTATTCAATATCAATATACAAAAACTTCTTTTCAATAGGAACAAATACCAAACATCAGATCTGGTCGGAGGCAAGAAATTGGTGAAAGAACAAACTCCAAGAAGCCAAGAAATTCTGAAAAAAAAATACCAAACGATGTCCGATCAAAGTAGAGAGCACAGATCCAGAACCGGCTTGGAGAGACGATCAGAACCGTGGTGGTCCGCGGCCGAGAACCACCGTCACGCGCTGTCACGCGCCGGTGAAGCTGGTGGCGCGTGGGATTCACGCGCAGAGACAAGGGCGGCGCGTGGAGGCGCGTCTGACCTCCGATGGTGCTGGGTTTTTCAGGCGAAGGTCGTCCGGCGAGCGCGATGGTTTCTGTGGCTGTTCGGAGTGAAGAATCCACCGGAAAAAGGTTACAATCGCGATGAACAGGTTCTGTACGGTGGTTCTGTACGTTGATTATGTGAACGTTTGCTTCTGGTTGTGTAATAGACAAGAAAAAGAAAGAGGAACAGTGAAGCAATGGTCGTCTCGGTCCAAGAGGTCCCCGGAAAAAAATTTCCGGTGGCGGCTGATGGCAGCGAGAGACGTGAAAAAGAATAGAAAGGTTTCGTAGGCGCGGAAGCAGAGCCCTCTGGATTGAGGCTCTGATACCAACTTGAAAAAGGGTATTCTGATATATTTTAGAATTGTGAAATAATATGATACAAAGAGGTCTCTATTTATAGAGACCAAAAACCCTAATTCTTGACCTAATGGGCTTGGCCCAATACAACAAATACTAATAATAATAAAAGACCTAATATTTACAACAGTTGTCGTTATGTTTAATTTAGGAATTTTCCTTATTTTTAGGATTTTAGGATTTTAAATTTTGAATCAATTTGTAATTAGTCTATAAAAGGGTGTTTATGACCCTTATTCTAGGAGTTGAATTTTGTTATTTTGTTAATAGAAATTGAGAATCAGAAGATTACTCTTTTGTAAAATCCCAACTTTCTGTTTAGCCACTTTTCTATGAGCTTTCAGCATCATGAAGAATATATCAAAACCTCAGGGGGAACCCTTTTTTCATAAACAATTTGCATTTGATTCAATAAAAGTATAAAGATCGGGTGCTCCATACTATAACAGTGAGTTGCAGGTTTGCAGGCAGAAAAGTGAAGCAGTATGCATACCTCATTGCCCATGAAATTAAGGTAGCCCTCTCCGCCTAATGCCATGGTTATGAAGTGTATCATCTGCAAAACATTAAGATAACAATAACTACAAGGAAATTATAAAGCAACAATAATTATGTATTGCATTAGCAGCTTTGTGATTCAATTTCCATATGAGTGATATAGTCCAGTAGTCATTATGATCAGATAAACAACCTTGTGAAGAGCAATCCCTCGCTCGATGGTAGGAGAAGTATCGGTCAAACAAGACATGCCAGTATACATTTCTTCATCCATTAGTAAAAAAGCAATAGTCTTGTCCCCAACAATTGCCTGCACAAGGCAAAAACTTAAAAACATTGATAGTGCTGGCATAAGATAAAATTCTTGATTACCTGTCCACTGTAGTTTCCATCATTTTGCTTTCACAAATTATAACTTTGCCTAAATTCTTATAGTATTTCCATCACAAAGGTAACACTTAATAAAAATTGGCAATGCTCATACCTGGTCATGACTTTCAGCATAAGAGACACATTTCTCAGTGTATCTCCTGTTTGTCAAACTCGAAGAGATTTCCTTCATTGACCATTCATTGTCTTTCTTGTTCTTCACATAGTCGATCCACTTGTCAGGGATAGCCATGGCTAGACGATAGTCGAAACCAATTCCCCCATCAGAAACAGGTTGACCAAGTCCAGGCATGCCAGAAACATCTTCAGCAATGACAGTTGCATCTGGCAAAATACTATGGATCAGATAATTAGCCAGCATTAGATAGACAACAGCATCCACATCTGTAGCTTCACTAAAATATTCATTATAATCCCCTGTAAACGTAATGTTGATTCCATGGTGATGATACAGCATTGATGTTACTCCATCAAATCGAAATCCATCAAATTTGAACTCCTCAAGCCACCATCTTAAATTAGACAAAAGGAAACGGAGAACTTCCCAGTTGGCATAGTTAAAGAGTCTACTATCCCATAATTTATGATAGCCTCTATCTCCAGTGTGGAAATAAGACTCTTGTGAACTTTGACCAACATCAAAGCCATTGAGTCCATCAGTAACATTATTGCTCGTATGACTATGGACAACATCCATCAAAACCTGCAAACCTAGACCATGGGCCTTATCTATCAGATATTTAAGATCTTCAGGGGTTCCAGATCTACTGCTCACAGCAAAAAAATTTGTTACATGATATCCAAATGATGCATAATAGGAATGCTCCATCACAGCCATCAGCTGCACTGTATTATAGTTATTTGCCCGAATACGGGGCAAAATATCATCTGCGAATTCCCTGTAAGAGTTTATGCGGGGTTCAGAGCTACTCATTCCCACATGAGCCTCATATATCCGTGGAGCTTTAGGCTTTGGTGGACGGGGATATTTAAACTGATACCTGCAAAACAAGCAAGAGGGTGAACACAAAACTGAGATAATTTCATGCAAACTTGACCAAGAGTGGACTGAGGAAAATATAGATAACAAATAGATTAAAAAATGGTAGGATCATTGGCATGGTTAAGCAATTTACAACGTTTACATATAATGCAATAGATATTCTCCGCTTTTTCTCTTGCAAACAAAACCCTGAACAACAGATTTTTTTTTATCAGACAGAAAAGAGCAACAAAACATGGCAGTGTGCATAGAATTTAAAAAATTCGGAATTCCTTTCAGTTGTACATGAATTCTATCATAACACACATTAGCAAACGAATTAAATTCATTTTATAATAAATCATATTTCACCTTTCATTTGCAGTTTATATATGTCTCAAAGATGAGAGTTCATTTATAATTCAACTGAAATAATCATGTATATTTTGATCCAAACTTTATAATTAATTGTAATTCAATTAAAATATTTCTTTTGAAAAGAGTTCAATTCATTCCTATAAAAATATTAGAATTTCCAAAAATGCAAGAAACAATTCACATGATTTTAAAATCAGTTAATATGAGGCATGCTTTAAAATCCCTTTTAGTATTGATCCTTCACATGCGATGCTTGATTCTTTATTGAAGATAATAAGTCAACGGACCTCTCTAAAAGTGGTGGATCCCAGTAGACACCATCATATGGCGCAGCAAATCTGGTAGGATCAACAGTGGCATATTTAATCCAAGCAGGGATGCGGTCAATCCAAACTCCATCACCGTGTCTAAATCTAAATTTCACTCTTGAATTGTGAGGTATAGCTGGATTTCCACCAGCATCAGGGATCTTAATACTCCAAACGCCAAATTGATTTTTTTCCATCAGGTGGTTGGAACCATCCCACCCATTAAAGTCCCCAATAAGTTGTGCTTCCCTGCATTGAAAGAAGTATAAAATCTGAAAAGAAAACTAAATAAAACAATGACAAACAAAGTTGACTAATTTGTATCCTGGAGATAACTCACAGAGCAGCAGGTGCCCACTCCTGGTACACAATGCCACCTTCTTCTCTGTTAAATCCAAATTTCAAATAACCTAAGAGAGAAGGGGGAAGGGAAAAGAAAAGGAAACATTATATTAAAGATGTAACTAGAATCAATCCAACAGATTATTAAGGCATTTTAATAAAAATCAATCCAGTTGACAGGTAAATGAATTTGTTTACAAGAAGCTGATGTGTCCAACATAAACAATTGATTGTTCACACAAATTTACATTATTCTAGGTTTGCTTATGCATACCAGATAATTTTAAGTGATTTATCTACCACTGACACTCACTGCCAAGTATCAGTTGGGTAATAACCCCTGATTTTATCATGGACATATAGTTTGTAGTATGCACAAAATCTTAGCAGCCATCTCAATTTTGTATTCACAGATATGTAGAAAAGGATAACAGAAGTGAGACAATGCCAACAAGTATATATCACCTTGTGCAAATTCCTCAAGACCTCCTTCATATTCTTCAATAAGCTTTTTCTGATCTACATATCTCTTCAGTCTATATTTGAAGTGATCTTTGTATGGTTCTAGGGATGGATCAACACGCAAGATGCCAATATTTTCTAAGTCTTCCTCAGTGGATGACATTGTTGACTTGTCATCTGTCATAACAGCTATGCCCTTGAAACCAGAGCTCCACTAGTTGAAGGAAAACACACTGAAACAACTTATCCACATGCAACACATATATAGATGACACATGCACAAGTTTTCATTTTCTTTTAAAAATATAGCAAGTCAGTCAGACAAGAGTTCAAATGTTTCATGTCATTTTCATTAATTCCCTTTGATCATTCACTACTAACTGGGAAGATACAAGAAGAAAGTTGAGCAAAGTTCAATATTGTTGAGATATATAGTCCCACATTGGTTGTATGAGTCAACTAATGTGGAGTTTATAAGGCTTTGGGCACTCCCACCCTTTGAGCTAGCTTTTGGAGTGGTGTATCCCAAAGTTCTTTACTGATGGTATCAGAGCCTCGTGTCTCGGATTCAAACCTTGCCATCCACTCTACAAGCCCAATAAGTGTGAGGGAGCGTGTTGAGATATATAGTCCCACATTGGTTGTATGAGCCAACTAATGTACTAATGTGGAGTTTATAAGGCCTTGGGCACTCCCACCCTTTGAGCTAGCTTTTGGGGTGGTGTATCCCAAAGTTCTTTACTGAAACATATCTAATCATATCTATTCTAACAAATACCATATACACATTGAATTTGTTAGTTGTTGCTTTTAACATGTTCATGTTTGAACTTTAAATGAAGATGGCTCACCCAAACATGAACTTGGGCTCCATAATCACATTTAGGAACTGCACCCCACAGAGCCATACACAATGAACCTTATATTTAAAACAAAAGTGATTCCAACAAAAGTTTGCCACCCTATACATATAATGAAGCAATCTTAATTTATATCTCGAGGCCATGCATCGTATGCATGAACTCCATACGACACTGAATATCGTTTAAGACAGCAGATTCACATAAAAGTTTCTCAAGAAATCTTGACCGAATTCTTTAAATAAGAGGCATCAAACATAGTCAAATATACCCTCTCATATATTGATCTTCTTGATCCAAAACTGAACCCATTGCATCCATGTGGGATCTTACAGCCAAGAGTCGGATCTACAGGCTTTTGCCTTTGAAGATGCTGCTTATTTCTCGAGGTCTGCCAGAAATAAAAATAGAAAATTATAAAGCATTGCACATGTAAGCAATCAAAACACAGTAGTAACAAGCCTAATAGTCCAGATCACTAAAGTTTAAAAACAAAAAAGAAATTTAGAGAGAGATTATGTAGCAAGAGCAAAAGCAAGTAGTTGCAAAGTCTAAATCACTAACACCAATAATTTAGTTTTGCTTACTCTCAGGTTTTGAACATGAACATGCGGTCACCAATATCGGATTTTGACAAACATAGGGTGGTGCTTGTGGTAATTAGAATTCGGTTCAGAACCTCATTACGATAAATCGATAAAAGAACTAAAAAAGATGATTCACTCACTACTCACTAGTTATTAAAGACCAGAAAACAACAACTTGAGGTAACGAGATGTCTGAGAGTAAAACCCACAGTATATCTCAGGCTAATGATATCACGCGCTAGTTTTTCTGGAAAGAACTGTTACCCATCTAGGGTTTGGTTTACTTGAAATCAAAACCGCTTCCGGGAAAACGACATGAAATTTCTAGAAACCAGAAATGATAACCAAAAGTTGAAATTAATGAATTACGTGAGTGGTGCAGCCAATGCTTAAAGAGGCAGAAAGTGGAGGATTAAGACCCAAAGAGGTTATCATCTCCCCAAAGTTCAAGCTCGCCAACTTCAACTTGAAGAAATCTCCATAAAGAGAGAGAAAGAGAGGAGTGTTGAAGAACAGAGGGGTGTTAGTGTTAAGTAGCTTTTTGCAGAATCAGGGACCTACTTTGGCACAAATTATTAACCTTAACCGTCTTTTCATTGCTAAACTACAAAGAAGAAACCGAGCCAAGTAAAGCATATGATACCCCGCCACGTGAAGAAGCAAGCAACGGCGCACGAATTTCCATATGTTCAAATTTTACGCGTCCTCCTCCTCTTTGCAGCTCTTCAAAGCATGGGGTTACATCAATTCAATTTTTTTAATAAAGCACAAAGTTAAGAGATTAAATTAATGTATTTTTTATTATTAATAATTATATTCATATTCATTTTTTATAATTAAAAACTGAGTTTATCTAGTTTACAAACTATTTTGATTTATTACTCAACTGAATCGTTAGATTCATATGAGAATCTGTGATTAATAATTAAAATTTAAAATATAATTTATATTGGTGTAAAATGTTCAATCTCTTATTTCTATTGTCATGCAATTAAATTACTGTCATTTTTTTTAGAATGGCTAAATCAATATCCATCTTTCAATAATTAAGTTAGTTTCACTTAAATGAAATTATTTTTAACATAACCTTTCAACAATAAAAAATAGCAGTTTTATTATTCTTCTGGAAAAATAGCAGTTTGTAAAACTTGCATGCAAAAACTACCTTTTAAATTTGGGATTAAGTTTCTCATATTATATGAAATAATTTTATGAAAAAGTGTTTGTCATTTTAAATGACGTAAAGTTATGTCATTTTTAAAGAGAGATAGATATAGAATAAATTTTTTTATTGATATTTTAAATTAAAAAAAATCTCTCACTTTCTCTCTCTCGTGATTTTCATTTTGTGTCTATCTCTCTCCTAAATGACAAACATCAAGCTCATAATTTTATCTCCTAAATACACATAAAAATATGTGAGATCTATGTGGGGCTATGTGAAAAGAAGAAGAAGAAATATATAGATCTCATACATTTTTACGTGTGTAGGAAATAAAATTATCTCGTATAATATTATAAACACTAATCTCTTTTAAGTTTTAATATTTTTTTTTTTTTGATAACAAAGTTTTAATATTTTAAAGGTAAGGTTTCATATTTTAATTGGTTCGACTCTCGATAATAGTGTTATGGTAATAGTAGTTATCTTGTCTGGGTCTTGTAACTTGGAAGACAATCTTTATTTGCGCAAGTGATAATCATGAAGGCATTGAATAATGTTATTATGTTAATGACTTTGATTAGTGCAACTTACTGTTTCTGAAGACAAATTTTTGTACAGGTATTTTGCTTGGTCTCTCTTTATTTGTCAGGAGTCCATAAAATTCAAGGGGGACATCAATGCTAGAATGATATTTGTACAATATGTTTTCTAACGATTATCTTCATAAAACTCAGCTAAATTACGCGGCCTGTTCATGCTAATATATCTTCCTTCAAATATTATATATTAAAAGAAAAGTGTAATAAGATCTGTAATCTTCACCCATTTGTAATCATTCACCTGAAATATAAAAAACACATACATAATTATTGATAAGCTTAGGAATCTATGGATGGTTCATATATGATTTATTAGGTTTAATTTACGATCATTAGATTGATAACTTTGAGCTTGGAATATTATTTTTCTAGGAGGCTGATTCTTCAAGCTCCTCAAGAAATTTACAAATTAGTATTTGAGCTAATGGATTAGGATATAGATTAGATAAATACCTGAATATTGAACCCTCATACTTACAGGGATAATTAACCTTGTTTGGGGACTTGATTGAGGTTATTTTCTTTGCGCCTTTGACCATCGATTGATTGAACGTGACACTTTCAAGATATTAGTATTATTTTCGGAATGCGAAAATATCTTTAGTATTATCAGAGTACTAAATATGAGTACATTTCTTACTAAATTTGGTAAAAAATAAGAGAATTAATTTTTCCTATTTTATTCACCCTTTATGGTATTGATATCTTCATTTCATGCTTTTATTTTATTTTTAATGAAGAAGTACATAATCTTATAATAGCAAAGATATATTCGAGAATACCTACTTATGGATTAGTAATCGTTGGTTGTGAGGAGATTAACTTATGTCATTCAGTAATTGGCCTACTGACCTATTTTATATTGTTAACAAAGTATTTTATGTGGGATTTCATTAAGACGCAACTTACGTATTAAATTTATTTATTTTTAAACATTTTTAGTTTATTTAATAGAAAAAATACAAGTTAATAGAATTGGTATAACGATAAGGGTTTGACTAGTTTATATTAAATTACATGTTCAATTTTTACTATTTTAATAAAAAAAAATAGAGAAAATATAGGTTGCTGGACTGAAATTGAGCGATTTACATTGTGCTGTAATTTATTTTAAATTGTTGACAGTTATGGAAATACGTACATAACTTATTGTTGACATGATTAAAAAAAAAAATTATTGCCTCGCAAAAGAAAAAATAACACGAAAAACATGCGATCTGCGATCTGATTGTATATATATTTTTTAAAATTATAATGAAATAAAAATACATAAAAATAGAATGAAAGTAATTTAATATGAATTTTAAAAAAGGTTAAAATTCATGCTATTTTTGAAAAGGAAAAGGCAAGGGTATTGATAGTTAGGCGGGTTCGGGTAGCGGATATCCATTTCGTTTGGTTTCCGTTTGATTAGACGCCGTCTTTGTCGTGTGATGGGGTATAAATACAGTTGACGGAGAAAAATCGCGGTGGGAGTATTAGTGTTAGGGTTTTGCAAAAACTTTTGAGTTTTGAGTTTGAGTTTGAGTTTGAGAAAGAGGGAAGAATGAGCAGGAGCTTGGGAATACCAGTGAAGCTACTCCACGAGGCTTCGGGTCACGTGGTGACAGTGGAGCTCAAGAGTGGAGAACTCTATAGAGGGAACATGATCGAGTGCGAGGACAATTGGAACTGTCAACTCGAGAGCATTACCTACACTGCCAAGGTAACCCTCTTACCCACTTTTCCATTTCTGATCTTTCGCTAATCTCGAACCAGCTTTTTATTTTTCTTCAGCCTTTTCTTTTTAACTAACCCCAAGGACTCTGTTTGTATGTATATTTTATTTCATAAGATCAAAGAGATATTCGTTGTTAAAGCTTTAGTTTTGATTTGAGGCAAGATGTATTCATATTTAAGCCATATCAACACGATTGAACTTGTAAAATTATACCCAGACATAAAAATGCCCCAATTAATTATAATCAAGGTTAATAGGGTTGGAAAATCCAAGTTTGAATAAGGTTGCTAGGAATTGATTTGGCTATTGCGCTAAGAGACAACGGAGCTGTGTGTTTGTCATTACATAGTCAGGATAAAGTTGCATTGGGTGTAGCAAGCCGGTTGTAAAAAAGAGCTATTTATATGAGATGAACTAATTCCCAACTAGTTTGGAATAGAGGTGATGTTAATGTTGATGTGTGTCATTACACATGAGTATTCTACACTTGAATATTTTATCACTAATAACTGCTATTCTTCAGAGTTCAGACAGCATTGTATGTTCACAGGTATTTTCATTTGCAAAATTTTAGCATCAAGAACAATGTTAATGCCTAACTTCAATCCTATTCTTAACATTTTAAATAAAAGGTGGAGTGTGGAGTCTTGAAGTGGCTTCCTAATATCATACTTGGAAAATTAACTGCTGGAGAATGTAACTGGCCAACATTATGAGGGTGAAGTATAAGGACCCCTTCAGGTCGATTTGGGTTGCACCACTGCTATTTATTATATCTTTTGGTGCTGTTACAAGCGCTTAATCTAACACTAACCAGCCAGAAACTTGTATTACGGTCTTATATCTTAAGTTATTGATTTCTTTGAAATTGAGATATGACTATCCACTAATAAAGATTGGGGCATGGATGTTGAGAATAAATAATAAGAGGATCTGTTTGTAGATGCTGACACTTATGGGACCTGGGGAGGCGACAGCTGCCAAATATATTATTTTTTAGTCTCTTGCATGTACATCACGTGGTTTCAGACATATGATTAATTCGGATATTGCCTAACTGTTAACCCTCAATTTGTATGCTTGTTGTCTTTCCATTTTTCTCTATAGATTTGATGGGATATAGTGGTTCTGGATACCGGAGCCTATGGGAGTGCACTTATTACTTTTTGGATGTCATAGTCTTGTAGAGATTTTTAATATATCCAATTTCAAGTATATTTGTTAAAATGCACACTGTAATTCATTTTAATTCATTTTAGTTGCTGATATTGGCTAAACCTTCCTCAGGATGGAAAAACATCGCAACTTGAGCATGTATTTATTCGAGGAAGCAAAGTCAGGTATTAATCATATGTTACCCGGAAACTTTATAATTTTATATTCCATACAGTGTTGTATATTGCAATCATGTTACTGATAGAGACTGGGTCAGATTACATAGAATTTAAGAGAAGAAACTATAGCATTCCACTGTGACTACTGGTATTATTAGTATGATGGCTGTAGCAGTATATGGTGTTTACTTGAAAATGGAAATAAGAAAACAAGATAACATTTGAGAGGCCCTGAGCCCTTCCAATTCCCTCCCAGTTCTTTGTCCCCTTTCCACAGTACTCTCCTCCCTTTTTTATATTTTCTGTTACAACAGAGTTTTCCCTCTTGATTCCCTTATGTCCCTCTAGTTAGTTATACCCAGTCACGCCCATTTTCTTGCTTCCTAGGGCTCTGATCCCCTATGGCTCCTCCTTGTGTACACCCACAAAATAGGAGACTTCCTAACAGTACTCCCCCCTAAAAGCTTTCACCTTGGCCTCAAGGTGAAATGCAGGGAACTGATCCCGTGAGGCAGTCATGGACTCCCAAGAGTTTTTAAAGTCAGGGAGGTCCTGCCATTGAACAAGGACTTGAGGAATTCCTTCTGGAATGGTCTTGTAGTTGAGTACGTCTGATGGTTGAACTGTTAGCTCCCAATCCCCAAAATTTGCCTTAATTTATCCTAATCCTTTACTCCTTTAAGCCAATCCAGCCCTAACTCCACATCAGCATCCACTAGTACAAATAGGAAAAAATCCTGTTGCACAGGGATACCTTGCACCATTGTAGTCACCCCCTTTGATAACTTGGCTACTGATTTTCCATCACCCACCTCCATGAAATGTTGAAGTGTTTCTGTTGCCAACAGTTTCAGCTCGCACTAGTCACTACCTCCTTAGCTACACAATTGTTGGAAGCCCTGCAGTTGATGAGAACCACCACTTTCTTCCCTGCTATTTCTTTCCGTAATTTCAATGTTTGGTTGGATTTCATTCCCATCATGCTGTGAACAGACAGTTGCAAGGCTTTCTCTTCTGGATCTTGTTCTTCTATCTGTTTTTCTTCCCCTTGAGCTCCTTCCTCATCCTCCTTAGTTTCTACCACTAATAGGTATAGTTGTTTGAATTTGCACATATGGCCAGGGTTGAATTTCTATCACACCTAGAGCATAATCCCTTCTTCATCTTCTCATGCAATTTTGCCTCAGACAATCTCCTAGATCCCCCTCTCATTATTATTGGAGCTTTTCACTGACTTAGTATCAGCAAGATTTCTATTATTGTAGTTAGGCCTTGAAGTGAAGGTCCCCTTCAAAGCCTCAGTCTGAATGTTAGTTCGAGGCCCACTGTCCACCATAGTGGATCTGGATTGCTGAGCCACTCTGGCCAGGGTACCTCCCCATGAGTTTACTCCCTTTCCCAGTCTAAATGTTAGTTCGAGGCTCAATGTCCAATGTAGTGAATTTGGATATCTATGCCTCTTTGACCTGGGTACCTCCCCATGATCTCTCCCAGTTCCCCCTTTTTACAGGTCCAGTTCTTGTCTTATAGCAATTGGGCCTGGTCCATCAGTCCAACCTGTGGAGTTTCAATTCTGCCCGTATATTATCATGGAGCCCATTCAGCCATACGTCACAGAGAATCTTCTCATCAGTGTGACGAAGGGGTCTCCTGCAATCTTCTCTAACTCTTCCCAGTAGTCACTTACTGGACCCATCTGATGCAATTCTAGAAGCCCCTCACATGGTTGAGCTATGGAAGGTTGAAAACATCATATCACTGCTGTATGGAACACTGCCCAAGTCGCGCGTTGTCAGTCCGTCCTTCCCACCATTGATACTATTTTAATGCTTGACGGATCAATGCTAGAATCACTGTCGGCAACCACTCGCTTCCCTCATTGTGTTCATGCGAAAGTATCGCTTAACCCGATTCACCCACCCATATGTATCACTGCTGGAGTCTCCAGCCTCCTTCCTCAATCATTCACTGGCTTTTGGTACATTCTAGCCGAGCCTCCACCATTCTCAACTGATCTTCATTGTTGTCGGCAGGTCCTCCACTGCTCTCTTCTCCCTTTGCTGCTCTTATGTCCGATCCCATAAATCACCTCCCCAAGGGTTGTAGGATCTCCTGGACATCATCTGTCTTTGATGGACCCTTGCAACATGTATATAGGCTTAGGAAGGCTGGGAAGGGGGTCCTGGCCCATCAGGTTGGAGGGGGGATTGGTGATGAGATGGAAACTTGCAAAGGTGATAATGGAATGAGGGTTGTTAGGGAGAGAGAGAGGAGGTTGGTTGGAAAAGGTGTTAGCTGGCAGGTTCTGAATGGAGAGCAAGAATTGGGGGGGTAGTGGATTGGGTGACTGGGTTGATATAAAGAAAAGAGGAGGAAGGAAAGAGGAAAAAAAGAGAGAGAGGGGGAGGGGGATGCAGAAAGGAGGCATATGAGAATTGAGTGGAACTTTGGCAATGGAATTGGGAACTCTAGGATTGGTTGTTTCTTGTAGAGGGAGCTAATTTTCTTCTTGTAGTTTTCATCTCTGTTATCTAGTCCATCTTTTTTCTTTGATCTTTCTGTCTGAATTTAGATATTGTATCTGTGACATTTGTCTGTAATTGAGATTCTGTTTCAATGAAGTATTGCTGTTGGGGGCTGATTCCCATTTAGTTACTTAGTACAAATTCTCTGGTACCATCAGTCTTCCTTGTACGCATACCATGAAGTTATATCCATTTTTCTAACCTCTACTCTAGAAGTTCTATCCATTGGTCAAACCTCCTCTTCCAGTGCTTCCATTCTTATAGAGTACACCATGGCTCCCCTCTGATACAATTTGATAGAGACTGGATCGGATCTCACATAATTTAAGAGAAGAAAGTATAGCATTCCTATGTGGACTACTGGAATTAGTATGATAGCAGTAGCAGTATATGGTGTTTAGATGAAAACAGAAATAAGATAACAGGGCATTCTAAAGGCCATGAGCTTTCCCTATTCCCTCTCAATTACTTCTTCCCCCTTCCCCTTACTCTCCTCTCTTTTTTATATTTTGTGGTACAACAGTTTTCCCTCATATCCCGCTACTTAGTTATAGCCAGTCACACCAACTTCCTTGCTTCTTAGGGCTCTAATTTGCTATGGCTCCTCTACATGTCCACCCTTGCAATATATGGCTTCATAACAGTTACTCAGCAACTATATAATTTTATATTCCAAATATGGTTGTATATTACATTTTCTGTGTAAGTACAGTGCTTTGAAGTGATAAGAATTTGACAGGTTTATGGTCATACCAGACATGCTGAAGAATGCTCCTATGTTTAAGCGTTTGGATGCCAGAATCAAGGTACCTTCTTATTTTCACTTGATTAAGTACCCCGTATTTGTTTTGTGTGCGCTTTTGTATTTTATACTTTCTGAATCTCTTGAAGGGCAAGGGTGCATCACTTGGTGTTGGTAGAGGCAGAGCAGTTGCAATGCGAGCTAAGGTATTTACTTTTTTGTTTTTCTCAGAAAAAATTCTTAGTTGATTACTGTAGATCCAGTCTTAAAAAATTTTGTTTAACGTTCCGCTAGTTGAAGGACCTATTAATATGACATGTGGTGTAACTCCAAATGTTGGTTGTGTAGGCTCAAGCTGCTGGCCGTGGAGCTGCACCTGGAAGGGGTGTACCGCCAGTGCGGAGGTGATCACCATAGTCTCAATTTTCCGTCTGTTGGACGTGATAATTAGGTTGTTGTAGAAGTTTATGAGAAAGAAATTCAAATTGAAATTGCTTATCAAGACTTCATAGATTACTCTCTTTATGGATGGTACTGAATGCCAAATTTATTCTCATCGCCCCTAATATTTTGATCTGGTATTCTGTACGTGGCCCTTGGAATTTTGTCCAAGGGATTGTTTGGTAACTATAAAAACTGATTGCTGTAGACCACGTCTGAAGTTTTGAAGTCATAACTAAATGTAAAATTTAAATATATAGAGAGAAACAAAAGTTAGATAAAGAAGCTTTTAATTCAAATAATAAGAGAAAGTAAAGAGATAATGTAAAAAAATGAAGAGAAAAAAATCAATTTTTTATGTAGTTATGATATTGTACTAATTTCTACTTTTCACCAGACTTTGTGTAGTACAATTTTCCCCCCTCAAAAAAAAATAGTACACAGCAAAGAATTTCTTAACCCAAGTCAAGCATCTTTAATTCAACTTCTGGATCTCTGTGAATCTGTCAGTGGACAAGTCGTTGCACTTTTCTTCAGAGATTGTTCTAAATGCTGTGGGAGGATAAGTAGAGTGAGAAACTCATGGTGAAATAGGAATCTACATGGCTGTATTACGTTCACTTATCCTGCCTTCAGCATTTGTCTTTTACGGCATCCTCCGTTCAGATGGAAAACGCACAATTGAGCTGCCAAAAACTTTTCAAAAAGAAATCGAAAGGATGAAATATCTCTTATACTTTAATAAAACGATAAAAAATTAAAAATTAAAATCATGGAACCAACAAGTCTGGAGAGTGGAGAGGACCTACATTGGATTGACCAATTTTATACATAATGTTTTTAGGTCATTTTAACCCGAATAGTGTCTTATTGACTGATATGGTATATTTTTTTTCCCCTTCTGCATCTACCCTCCAATGTATAAATAAATAAAAAAAGATAAAAATGGGAATTATTTAATATTCATGTTTTCTGAGTGATGGGATCGAAACTATATAAAAATAAATTAAAATAATAATTTTAGGTTTTTATTCTTGACAACGAAATGATGAAGTCGAATATCATCAGCAAGCAAATATAAACCTTAAAAATTAGTTAAATGAAAAAATATAATTGGCAACCACATAGAGAGAAGTAACATTTGATGATGCACCAGGGCCCATTGGGCAAGAGGAGGTGAAGAAATTCGGTGTTCCCTTTCGAAAAGTGTAGGATATAGATCTTCTTTTAAATGATATAACTTATATCATCTCATTCTCACAAAGAAATTGGATCCACGTCTTTATATTTTTTTGTCCATTCTCTTTCCTCCTTTATCTATCTCTTTCTCTCACTTAAAAGGGTAAAGTGTGTGTCATTTTAAAGGATGTAAAGTTGTGTCATTTTAAGAGAGAGAAAGAGATAGATAAAGGAGAAGATAGAGTTGACAAAAAAAATAAAGGTGTGGGTCCCACTTCTTTGTGAAACTGAAAGGATATAAGTTGTGTCATTTAAAAGGATAAATATTTTTTTCCACTTAAAATGACACAACTTTACATCCTTTTAAATGATACACATCTTTTTCTAGATAAAAAAAAAAAAACACAACACTTTTCAAAAGGGTGATCCCTGGAACATTTAAATTCTTTTCGTGGAGACGAGGCTATACCTCAGGGTGCATGGAATTTCTTAAAAATAAATAAGTTTATCTAAATACTGATTTTTATGTAAATACGTTTTAAAATAAATCTGGTTCTTAAAAAATATTTTAAAGTTGGATTTTTTTTTCTAGTGCATCTTTTTTATATTCTCTCTCTTTTTTAATTAGATCTAATGGTAATTGTTGTGTAAGTTTTTTATTAATTTAAAGAAGAGATTAATGTTTATCATATTGTAGGAAATAATTTTATCTCTTTCATATACATAAAAATACGTGGAGTTCTTGTTTTCATTTTCTCTCTCTTTTCCACGTGAGTTCCACATATTTTTATGTATATGTAAGAGATAAAATTATTTCTTACAATATGAAAAATATATTCTCTTTAAATAATTAAGATGCTAATCATGTTTATATGTTATGATGAAAATGATTTGCGATTTATGATTTAAGACATAAAACATATATTTTTAGATAAACTGTACATAAATATTTACCAAGGTGATATAATTTCAAAGAAAAAGAAAGTTTAAAAATTATTTGGGCCTTACAAACATAACAGGTGTCGTCCCTCATCACCGTATATTTGTGAAGTCCACATAATCAAAATTTAATATGTTTTAAACTATATTACATTGATTAATTAATTCTGTTTCCGCGGTCCATTTTAAGTTGTTATTTAAAAAGAATGTGGTTAATACTGAAGGGTTTTAGTTTGTCCTTTAACATGATAAGAAAAAATTTCCTACACATGTAATATTTTGTGGGATCCGTACTTTTTAAAACAACAACAACAAAACTAAAGCACGCAAAATGAATCTCTATAACATTACATAATTATTTTTTCTACAACATAACTCTTATAAAATTACTTTTTCTACAACATAACTCTTATAAAATCTTAATAGTTATGTTACACTCGCTTAAGTGAGTTTCTTCATAAAAAAAAGTTCACAACAAATAATATATTATTACATTATTAAATAATTAAATAACAATAATACTTTTTACTGACCAGATATCAAAAGGGGACAATGTTATCCTTTGTTTTTTGTGCATCGGATCATCTCATACCCTGAAAATCAGTGAATTTTTATTAACAAATTATAAAAAAAATGAAAGGCTCGAGCGTTAGCATAGATATGCACACATCAGCTAAAAAAATGACACTTTGGGTGCATCTAAGGATTGTTATACCATAAAATTTTGTGGAGGGCACACGTTTCAAAGATACATTAGCTTGCGTGTCAAGTTAGCAATGGTTCACTTCATATTCTAACAAATGGCTCTGGCCAGATTTAAAAGAAAACGCCAGAAACAAGATAAGGAACCATGAGTGCATGACGTTCTCAAATATTTTAATGATTTTTCAACGTAATCCGACTCTCTTATTTATCTATCTCTTTTTATTCCAACCAGGGAATACTAAATTATATATTAATTAATATAATTTTACATTCCAGAAAATATCGGCAAGTACAAAATCGAATATAATAAAAATCAAATTTCTTGACTGTCTCAAGTTAAAATAATCGAATTTATATCATTATTCATGGTTAATTCATGGCATTACAACATAAATAATTTTTTGTAATAAGAATGTTACGTGCCAACGTTCGAATTCTGTACGACATAAACCTAACAACTATATTGACCGTTAAAAAAAAAATTGATACACCTGTCAACTCATGATTTTTATTTTTAAAAAATAAATAATAATAACAATATTTGAAGTGAATTGAATTATATAACAAGAAATTGAAAAATAATTATAATTAGAGAATAAGAATTATTTACAACCTTTTCTTTAAATTTTCTTCCCACATTTAAATCTTTAAATGATTACTAAAGTGTATTACAATCTTATTACTTTTTTTATTCCTTTTTAGTAAATTAATTGAATAATTAATTAAATATTTAAATACCAAAATGATAATTTTTCTATATATAATCAAATAGATATATGTATAAAAAAAATCAAACAGATATAAATTATATTATTATGAAATTGAAACGTGGAGTTTGGATTTCTTTAGTTTCTCACTAAATAATTCCTTATTATAATATTAAAAAACATTTTTTTTATTATAAGAATATAATAGAATTTAGAAAACTATTAAATAATTTAAAAAATTAGTTTGAAAAATGGTAAATTTCAAACTTCTAGGAGAATTAAATGCTTAGGATTTCTTACTTTTTTTAAATGTAAAAATTTACTTTTTTTCCCTTAACAGACAAGATTGATATCATTTTAATTTATTAAAAAACAAGTGACATTAATTTAAGCATTTAATTGCAAAAAGTGATATCAAAATCATTTTTTAAATCTGCCCAAAAAACCATTTTTTAATGCAAGAGCCGTGAGATTAAAGAATTAATTAAGAGTAAACACTCTTTTTGGTCCCTAGCAATATTAACGAAATTCATTTTAGTCCCTGACAATAAAAAAGTACCAAATTGGTCCCTACAGTTATGAAAAAAGGGTCACGTTAGTCTTTCTGTCAACTCCTCTGTCACGGTCAAACTAACGGTGCCCATGTGGTACATTATCTGCTGACGCGGACTCCACGGTGGACACGGTGGAAAGCTGGACAACGACGTTTTGAATCAAAAGGAGTGCAAAGCTTTCAAAAGGACCAAACGACGTCGTTTTATTCTTGAGAAATCAAGAGGCACCAACACTGCAAGTAACCGTGGAGACTCGTTTTTTTCACTAAGTTATTGCATATGATTGGAAGACCATTGTTGACCTCCACTGGAAGCTTCATTGAACGGTGAGGGTTGTCGAAGACGGTGGTTGCAGGGAAGGCAATCGAGCGTGAACTTTGAAGGTTGTCGAAAGGCTGGTCCTGTGGTGGTGAAGGGAAGTTCGAGTCTGCTGGTTTTCTTACATGCAGTAAGGTAAGTGTTTTTTTAAAAAAATCTTCAATATTTGTGGTCCCCCCTCACCTCATGTTGTCTATTCTCTGTTGGAGGATGGTCCCCCATGTGCGCTCCATTGTGAGTTATCATGGTTAGGGTTTAAAAAAAAAATACTCATTTATGTATGTGGTCCCCTTCACTACCGGTTTGTAAAGTATATTGCCATTTTTTAGTGCATTGTGGTCACCAATTTTTTAGTGCATGCATAATTTGTAAAGGTGCAATTTTTTTCCACGTTATTGGCTTGTCCCCCTCTCAGCAGTGATGAGTTTGATGTATATAGTTATTGCCATTTTTTAAATTGGTTTGTGGACCCTGATGTTCGCATGAATTTATTGTAATTTACAGCCCTGTGTTGATTTTTTTTCCAGATGGATGAATATATAGTGATAAGGTATTATCATGGGGATGTGTTGAAGAGAGATGATAAAGGGGTCCTAACCTATGTAAATGGCAAAGTGGTTGACTTACCTGAGATGGATGCTGACTTCGTCAACCTGCGTGACCTTGATACTCTGTTCAAGGGTTATGGGTATGAGACGTGTAAGCAAATGTTGTGGCTCATGCCAAACGCAACGGATTTAGACGTAGGTTTCAGGCCTTTGAATACGGACGCTGATATTGTGGAGATGGTCAAGGCTGCATTGAGTAATGGCAAGCTCATAGAAATTTATTTTGAAGATTGCATTGCAACCCCTGTCTATGTTTCACCGGAAGAAGTTATTGCACATGCACATGAGGGTGGCAGTGGTGGGAAGGAGGATGAGGGTGGCAGTGGTGGAGAGGAGGATGAGGGTGGCAGTGGTGATGGATTGGAGGATGAGGGTGGTAGTGGTGATGGGTTGGAGGATGAGGGTGACAGTGATGGTGATGAGGATGATAGTGGCAGTGGTCATGGGTTTTCTACTGACTCAGAAGATAGTGTGGAGGATGAGGCATATAAACCTCCTCCACCTATGTATGATACAGAAACAGAGAGTGAAGAGGAGTGCAAGGGGAAGGGTAAAGCTGTCGAAAAAAAGGGTGTTTACTCATTAATTAATGTTAATTTTTTGTGATTAAGGGTCACGGGCGGGTGCATTGAGTTTCGGTATTGGAGAATTTGCTAGAGACAAGATTTGAAATTTGAATCCCTTACTTAAGCAAACCCTTGAAAGCTCAGTTGACAACTGAGTTACTCTTGAAGATTATTAGAGTTAATTTTTTAATATGACCAAATTGATATATCTCACAATCTTTCAAAGAATAAATTGACCCGAGTTATCTTTCAAAGACAAAATTAATATTAAGTAAATCTTTCAAAGACCAAAATAGAAATTACTCTCTTGTCAATATATAATATGATTATTAATTTAATTTTTAAAATGAATTTAATACATTTACAAATTTTCATTTGACTTATTTATGTTGTTAGGAAGTATTTTGTTAATTAAAAGTGTTTAAATTAAAAAATAACATGCACTATTAAATTAAAGAGATAAGATATTGTAACAACTAATTAGGGTTACTACCAATCAATTCATCGTTATATGGATTATGTTGATATAATGTTAATCTCTTTCTATAATGAATGTTATATTTAATTCTATCTTTGTATGATTATGATTCCCCATATTTAATGTGAAAGCATTAAATATGAGAAATCATAATCAATGTGAAAATAATATAAAGTATTAAATATAGAGAATCATAACTATACAAAGATAGAAATAAATATAACCGTTGGATAAACATAATTTATCTAATGACAAAATTAATTGGTAATAACATTGATAATAATCCTAATTGGTTGTTACAATATTCTTTCCCCTAAATTAAGAGTACAATAATAAAAAATTAAATTACTTTCAAATGAGTATAGTCTAATTTAATAAATAGGGTTGGATAAAATATTTTTTTGAGTGTCTACTTCAACAAATAAATTTAAAATTAAAAGGTTGGTATAAATAATTAACAATGCATAAACAATGAAAGAATGTAAGATAAATTCTAATGATTTTATTTTAAAAAAATTATTCATAACTATTTTTTGGATAAGATCTTTTAGTTTGGAGATTTGTTTATGGGTAGGAATTTAATGATAATTATTTAAAAAAAATAAAAATGAAGAGGACAGCAATTAATATTTGAAATATGGAAAGAGAGAGAAAGGACGGAGCCTTTATAAAGAGCTAAAGAGTCGCGATTGCCACACGAAATAGCTTTGCTTCTCTCTGTCTCATTCATATCTCATCGTCTCCTTTCATTTCTCACACTCTCTACCGTTACCATGGATCCCTACAAGGTACCAATTCCTATTACCTTCTTTTATTGCCTTCTGTCTCCGATTTTGCAATTCCTAAATTCCATTCATCTCCTTTTTCTTTTTTCTTTTCTAAATTTTTTTAATCTAAGGGAAAAAAAAAACTGTCTCTTAATCGTTCCTGCTTTCAGCGTTTCAATTTTTCTTGGTTTGTTCAAGTCTTGATTATGTTAGCTGGGTTTCTGATGGAAACATGACAACATAAAACATGAGAACTCTATTTTTTGTTATTATTTATATCATGTCTAAGGATAATATAAACATTAAAAGGTCCGCATAGTTAAATGATTATTTACATGATATAGCATTGGTATTACGAGGGTATTACGAGTTCGATCTTGTCTCTTATTTAATTAATAATTATTCAAGTCTTTGGAGTTTTTTAGTACAGATAAATGAGACCGTGGATTGTCTATTCTTTAAATCTAGTGACCTCTAGTCTAGTACGAGGGGCGTGACAGAGTATTATAAATATAGCTTTAAGCTTTAAGTTTTGGGATTAAAATAGTTCTTTACAAATAACAGCTTTAAACTTTTGGGCTTACATAATCATCTCGTGTGTCTCATCAATCGTGTGGGTTTGAAATTTGAGCTTTGTGGAGCTACTTCTACTGTGGTGTGAATCGATTATGAAACCCTGTTTGCTGACTAGTGTTATATGTTATACAGCACCGTCCATCTAGCGCCTTCAACTCTCCCTTCTGGACTACAAATTCTGGTGCTCCTGTTTGGAACAATAACTCTTCTCTAACTGTTGGATCTAGAGGTATCAACTTACTCCCTTCCCTGTGATTAACCATCACCGACTGGGTCTTGGGTCATGCTTGTTGCGCAGGAACACATTTGCATGGCTTCTTATTTGCTGAAATTGTTCAACTTTCTCTGGGGAAGGACTTTCTTTTTAACATAATTTGATTTCATGCCAGTGAAGTAGAACCGTCGTAAATAGTTGTCAAGTAATGTTAGTGCAGGATGTGGTTTCATGTTCATATAAAACACTAACCACATGTAATTGAGTATAGCAAACTCCTCGGTAATTTTGTCTTACTGAAGATCCAGAATGCAACAACACCTAGTGGCACAGATTGATTTTTTGTTTTATTCATACCATAGAAATTATATGTGTCCATGCATACATAGTTTAATATTTTCTTTCATGTTGCAGCATGCTAGCTATAACTATGCTGAAAAAAATTAATGAGCCTTTTTCTAAATTTTTGTTGGCGGAGGAATAACTATGCTAAATTATTGTTGGTGGGGAGGGGGCTTATCTATCTGTCTGTTGTAAAGTGAATTTGGCTGAATATTATTCAATCAGAAATTTTATATTGTTTTACCCCTTTTGGCAGGTCCAATTCTCCTGGAGGATTATCATCTTGTGGAAAAGCTTGCAAATTTTGATAGGGAACGGATCCCAGAACGTGTTGTCCATGCTAGGGGAGCTAGTGCAAAGGGTTTCTTTGAAGTCACACATGACATTTCTCACCTGACATGTGCAGACTTCCTTCGAGCCCCCGGAGTTCAAACTCCTGTCATCGTCCGTTTCTCAACTGTCATTCATGAGCGTGGTAGCCCTGAAACCTTGAGGGATCCCCGAGGATTTGCTGTCAAATTTTACACCAGAGAGGTAAAGATTTATAATTATATAGCGTGATTTAAAATTATCTTCCAGTGATTGAATACAACTATTGTATTAGTTTAATTTTCTCTTTATCTCTTTTAAAGCAATTCCCACAGTAACTGAGGGAGCTAATTTAGTTGCTGAAATGCTGTTGCAGTTTTGTACTATACATGATACTTTATTCTTACCTTGTGAACGCAGGGTAACTTTGACCTCGTTGGAAACAACTTTCCTGTCTTCTTCGTACGTGATGGTATGAAGTTTCCAGATATGGTCCATGCTCTTAAACCCAATCCCAAGTCCCACATCCAGGAGAATTGGAGGATCCTTGACTTCTTCTCCCACCATCCAGAAAGCCTTCACATGTTTACCTTTTTATTTGATGATTTGGGTGTCCCACAAGATTACAGGCATATGGATGGTTCTGGAGTTAACACATATACCCTGATCAACAAGGCTGGGAAAGCACACTATGTGAAATTTCATTGGAAACCCACGTGTGGCATAAAGTGTCTATTGGAGGAAGAGGCCATTAAGGTGGGAGGATCCAACCACAGCCATGCCACTAAAGATCTTTTTGATTCAATTGCTGCTGGTAACTATCCTGAGTGGAAGCTGTACGTTCAAACAATGGATCCTGATCATGAAGACAGATTTGACTTTGACCCACTTGATGTTACTAAGACTTGGCCGGAGGACATTTTACCCCTGCAGCCCGTTGGTCGCATGGTCTTGAATAAAAATATAGATAATTTCTTTGCAGAGAATGAACAACTTGCATTTTGCCCTGCCATTGTGGTACCTGGTGTATATTACTCAGATGACAAGTTGCTTCAAACCAGGATATTCTCTTATGCTGATACACAAAGGCACAGACTTGGACCAAACTATCTGCAACTTCCTGCTAATGCTCCCAAGTGTGCTCACCACAACAATCACCATGAGGGTTTCATGAATTTCATGCACAGGGATGAGGAGGTAAATTAATGTTTTCATTCTTATATTTTCTTATTTGTTTTCTATATATGAAGCCAGTTTCCTTGATAACTACCTAGTGCTGTTAAATGATTCATAATTTCATACACGCTTTGGTTGGGTCTTAACTCTTATTGTGATATAGCAACTTCTTCTTTAGTTGTATACATTTTTTTTTATCTAGTTACTGAGTGCTGCCAAATTATAGGTCAATTACTTCCCTTCAAGGTATGATTCTGTTCGTCATGCAGAGAGATTCCCCATTCCTCCTGCTATCTGCACTGGAAGGCGTGAAAAGGTTAGTTTTGATCAATTGCTTAATAGGAAATGTGGAACATCTGTTGGTGAATGAATCCACCAGCCAGCCATGGGTTTCAGTTTAGATTGCCTTCTTAGTTCATAAGTGTTTGTTTGTCTAAGAAACCACACATTTTTGAATTCTAACCAAAATTTCTGAAAAATTTCAATTAGAAAATTAGACAAAACATATCTTTCTTTGTTATCCTTTCCTGATTTAATTAGTAAGATGAAATAATGTTGTTGAGCATATGCAAATATGCAGTATGAAAAATTGATCTGACAAGTATAAGGAAGCAAAGAAATAGACCCGCTACAGTGGTTAAGTATTTCATAGTTGTTGATAAAGTTTGACGTCAAATAATACAAAGGTTACCTAGGGTTTATTTTTAGCATTACTTTGTGGATAGAAGAGATTGATTATTAGTTCTTTTATAAAATATATAATTAAGAATATAAGATCTTAAAAAACAATAAAATAGCACTCGTAAAACTGTTGAAATGCTGCCTATATTAGTGCAAGAATCTGTGAACAACTTTACTTCTTAACGCAGTGCATAATTGAGAAGGAGAACAACTTCAAGCAACCCGGAGAGAGATACAGATCTTGGGCACCTGACAGGTTCCTGTTATAAACTACTGATATGATCAACATGAAAAATGTTTAGTGATGTCTAACGTTGGTTTTGGTTCGGTTATATCTCTGCTGTTTTCTTATTTGCAGGCAAGATAGATTTATCCGCCGATGGGTTGAGGCTTTATCTGACCCACGTGTCACCCATGAAATCCGCAGCATCTGGATATCGTACTGGTCTCAGGTGAGATTTAAACATGCTAACTTTGTAACTGTAGGAAACTATAGAGTAGAGATTAAATAAATCTGCACTGGTTTGCTCACGGTGATGTTCTCTGTGGGCATTGCTTCGCAGGCTGACCGTTCTCTTGGTCAAAAGTTAGCGTCTCATCTGAACATGAGGCCAAGCATTTAAGGTTGTTGCAAACCCTGGGATTGTTGCAGGAGTTGCAGATATGCTTAATTGTATGATAAGGATTTGGATTTGGATAATTTCAAAGGACTAATCCTTTTCTTGCAGTATTATATCGTATATCAATAATTCCATGTATGCAACTCGGTTAACTTTCTCAATAAACGCCATTTGTATGTGTTAGTATTTATTTAATGGGAAATAATACTCTCATGCCACATGAGATTACATCATTTACTTACACAAATTCGTTTTTCGTGTTAATTTTTTTTTCTTTTTTAATATAAAATATGGGATCCGCATTTAACTTCTCTCTACTTTTTTTCTCTTCTACAATTCTACAGCATAAGAAAACTTAAACCCTTATTTAATTTCTTGATCGCTGTTTCCCTGTCTTCTGGTGGTTGTTTACTTATTTATTTATTTATTTATTTTAGAGTTAGGTCCTCGTAATTATTATCCTAATAAAGTATTAAATAGGGGATCTTTTTTATTAAAATAAATTGTTTTTTTCAAAAGCTTTCTTAAACAATGGTTAATTTTTGTTTTAAAATAAATTAATTCAAACGTGTATATGACGAAAAAATATATGTATTAATATTTTGGGAATATGAAAAAATATTTATACTTTTTGTTTAGTAATTAAGAGAATTATTAAAAAGATGATTAAGAAAGATAAAGAATTATTCAAATTTCCCGTCCTCTAACATTGCACGTCCCTTAGCCTTCCATGCTGAATCTTATTAGGCATATTCAGACATAATCGGCTGGAACTTTTGTTTAGAAGCCCAATGAATATTCCAGTAGTTTAGGTCCAACGAGTTATAGACTTATAGTTAAGCTTGGTACGGTCCAGTAGGTATCTTCTTTGAAGTTTGATCTATTTATCTCAATTGTTTTCTATAACCAAGTTGATTGCATTCATCAGCATTGTCTGGTTTGTGTTTAATAATAGCCAGGAGTAATGATCTCATCAACAAAGCATTACAATAGGAGGAAAATAACGGCAACAATGATAGGAGTAACCACTTTCAATGTCGCCTCTAGAGCTGTCAAAACGGGCCAGTCTGGCTCATTTAACCTTAGCCAAAGTGGGATAGCACCAAAAAGTTCACAGGGCCAAAAAGTCCACAAAATGATAAAGATCCACACGCGCCAAAGTCCTTTGGGTTAGGGTTAGGGTTAGTCCCCGGCCTTCTAAAAAATAATATGTATTTTTTAAAAAAATATTTATAATAAAATGGTGCATAGAAATTATTAGAAAAATAAAAATAAATAGTTTTTAGAAATTGTCACTTTTTAAAAAAAGTATTGCATAGAAATTTTTTCGTAAATTTTTTTGATAGAAAACGTTTCTGTGAAAAAATTGACGAAAAAAAAAATCGTCAAAATTCTTTATAGAATCTAAATTCCGTAAACAAATTTGACGAAAAAATTTCCTTTGAAATTTTTGAAGAAAAATTTCAGTCAAAATTCTTGACGAAAAATTTTCCGTTGAAATTTTTGACGATAAAAATTTATGTTGAAATTTTTGACGAAAAAAATTTCGGTCGAAATTTTTGACGAAAAAATTTCCGTCGAAATTTTTAATGAAAAAAGTTTTTGTCGAAATTTTTGAAGAAAAAAATTTCCGTCAAATTTTTTGACGAAACACATTTTTGTCAAAAAATTTTGACGGAAAATATTTCTGACAAAATTTTCGATAAAAAATATTTCTATCAAAATTTTAAACGGAACACATTTTCGTTAAAAAGTTTTCACGAAAATTATTTCTGTAAAAAAGTTTGAAAAAATATTTCTATAAAAAATTTCAACGAAAAAAATATTTTTTCAAAAATCTTTACGAAATCTAAATTCCGTTGAAAGTTTCACAGATACATTTCCCTCAAAAATTTTGAAAAAAAATATTTTCGTTGTAATTTTTATTGGGTCACATTTTCATCGAAGATTTTGGACGGAAAATATTCCGTCAAATTTTTTGAAGGAATTCTTTCTTCCGTCAAAACTTTTGATAAAAAATTTTTCGTTATAAATTGAGTTGAATATTGTAGCCCGCGGGCCAGCTCCAACCTAACCTTATAATGAGAGGACTTTAAAAAGATGAACTTAAAATGACCCTATTACATAGAGGGCTAAAATTTTATAAGGCTGACCCTAGGGCTTGATGGGCTGGCCCTAGGGCTCGAGCCCTTTTTGGCAACTCTAGTCACCTCCAAGTTGTAATGGTCTCGTTGCGTCCTAAAAATCACCAACACTACTTGTTCAAAGCAACGAACAATTCCTTGCTTCTACCCATTTTTTTTAGTAGACAGGGAGGGGATTAAACCCCAGAGAAACAAATTAGGTACTGCAAGAGTTAGGTACCTGGGCACCTTTGAGGTCTACATTCAAAATATTCATTAGACTCATTTTAGATAAATACTCATTAGACTGTTATGGTCATAGACAACAAGTTCTAGAATTTGGGTTTATCAAAGTAAAAGGTTTAGTATTCGTTGACTAAGTTAATGCAGTAATAAATTGTTAGAGATATATATAATTATTAATATAACTTCATTCGCCAGCTTAATTTGTTGGGTTGAAATGATTTTTAACATGATATCAGAGTTGATCAAATGGTTACGATTTTGATTCTCACTGTCCCATATTCAGTTAATAAATAATTAAGCATTAGGCCGGTCACCCTTCAAGCCCAATGGGCTCTCATGTGAGGGGTGTATTAGAGAAATATAAAACCAATAATATAGCTTCACCCAACACCTTAAGCTTTTGGATTGAATTGTTTCTAAAAATAAATATTATTAAGTAATTTTTTAGATAATTGTCTTCATATATTTTAAGGGAAAAACAAGTATAATGTTGTAGAAAATAGTACCTCTATTCTATAGACACACAAAAGCACATGGGTTTCACTTTTTTATTTTCTCTCATCACTCTTTTCTCTTAAAAAGATCATATTTTTTATTCAATTGCAACTTGTTTTACCACCTCTAGCCACAAGCTTCCCCTGGACTTGCTTGACATAAACACCTGGCTAGCCGGAGCAAAACCTGGTTCTGATACCCCTTTCAGACAGGTTTCGGGGAAGCACGTGGTGGGAGACCACCATCAATGAACTAAGACTACACTATCATATCAAGTGAGTTCATCCTACTTATATGAACTTTACTTAGCCTATTACCAATCAATGTAGGATTCAATTACACTTGAATATTCCAACAATCTCCCCTTTAAGTGTGAAACTCAATATTGGTATGCACCCCCTCAATCGAGTACTCAGACTCAAAGTACTCGACTCGCCTCTTAACCAAACATCTAGCTAGCTCAAGCTCAACCTGGCTCTGTACCACTGTCAGGTGGGTCCAGGGAAAGTCCATGGTGGGGGACTAACACCAATAGGCTAAGCTAGCCAACTATAATTACCAACTATGTGGTACTCATCCCACTTGAATACCCAATAATATCGTCCTCAAATGTGAAACCCAACATTGTTATGCTCCTCCTCAACTGAGTACCTCATGACCTAAGTACTCATCCCGCCTCCAGTTAAACACTCGGTTAGCCCAAGCCCAACTTGGTTGACTCTTATACCACTATCAGGCGGGTTTAGGGGGAGCTTATGGCGAGAGATTTTCATCAATGAGCTAAGGCTACACCAACTGTTGTAGTAAGTGGGGCTGACACCATGTCACAACCCAAAATATTAAGTCGTTCGTGAGTCCTCCCACTTATATGAACTTCACTTAACCCATTACTAACCAACCAATATATGACTCATCACATTTAAATAACTCAACACAAATAATATGCAGTATTATTTCCACGTCATTTTCCAGCATACAGAAAGAGACATTGCTTTTCATTGAGGATTCGGGTTGCCGTATGTGATTTGTGGTGGATCTCCTTCGTCAATGGCCTCATCACTATGTGGGGATCTCTTTGGCGACAAACGAGTTCATCAATTAAAAACAATTAGGTTGATGGATTTTATTCTTATTTTAGTATTATAAGTTTAATCTTTAAACAATTGGATTGGGAATCTCGCGGCGAGTTTTACGATTTTCGCTTATAAAAGCAAACTCAGTAACGTAATTTTGTATATGAAATTCTGAATAAATTAATGTTGGACATGGCAAGTTGAAAATAGACCACTTTTATTTTCATTCCCATTAAAAGAGAAAAGAGTTTATTTTATTATGTAAATATTCATCATTAGATTGTAATCTGTGAATCTCAAATCTCACGTGTACTCTCATTTCCCTATGTGTACATTTCAAGGGTATTGAATATGGTACGATATATATTTCCCACATGCGAAATAGTATTTAAATGTGAGTGATCCAATGAAGTTATGTTAATTGAGAACCAGAAATTTAATGGGGTCTGAGTATGGTAGAACCCATTATAAGCATATGAGTTTGAAAGGAAAGGTATGTGTTTATGGCAATGGAGAGACAGAATATCAGCTAGATTATCTACAGATTTGATGATCCCTCCCTCATATGGAGAGATTGTTTATATAAGAAACCAAAGGGATGGAAAAAGAGAGAGTGATTTCTTCTTTTAGGGATTCTTAAATGACTTGTTAGGAATTAAAGTCATGTTCGGTGGTCCCCCCGTAACATAAGGGCGTTGTACTCGTAATGATATGAGATACGTGTGTAAAAGGTTAGAATATCTTTCTTCTTTTCTTTTTTTTTTTTTTTTTTTTTTTTTCTTTGGTACATTAGATATACCGAATTCGGTATATATATATTTTTTAATTTGAAAAAATTGTAATATGATGAGAAACAAAAAATTCGAAAATGATAATTTTTTTTTTAATTTGAAAAAAAAAAATATACCGAATTTGGTACATCTAATGCACCAAAATATTTTGGCAAGAGGCATGGTGAATCAACCAATTCAGATTAATCTTAAGGAGCAGCCGATTAGCCAAAACAAATTTTAGCAACCGGTCCAAGATACGATGTCCAAAATAGTATGAAAAGCCAATATGCACGGTAGCGTTTGAAATTCATTCAAATCTACAGATATCCTCATCAATCCACTTGAATAAGTATTTATATTGTGGTAAAAAAAATGTTTATTTAACTCAGTTCAAATGAATTTTTGTAATAAATTAAAGATTATAAATATTTTTAATAAATTTAAATTCCAACTATCAAACTAGTAGACAAATCCTAACATAATATGATGCCGTATGTATGATGTATACCATAATACCAGTACTTTCTGATATATTATTTTAAAAGAATATAAATTATAAATTAAAGATGAATTTGAATAAAAAAAAAGATTCATGGCAAATAGTTGAGATCTTTGTATCTGGCAATAAAATAGAAGAAATTCTCCTAATCACACGTCATAATCTGCAAATCAAACATTTTTTTTATTTGTCGAGTTTCGTTCGACATGTATTGCATGACTGGGTCAATGTGGAGGTGCCCTCGCGTCATTGACAATGCGAAATTGCTATTAGTTTTGATTTGTTAATGATACAAAGAAAGGAACTTAATAAATAGCTTTAGTTTATTAACACATACATATTCATATTTTTTTTCTTTAGTTTATAAGTAGCTTCTAGTTTAAAAATAAAAAGATTCAACAGGCTCTGAGTATGCAAGTCTGCTAATTTGTGTAAAAGTAAATTTATTGATAAATTTAAAAAGTATAATTTATTAACTTACGTAGAAATTAGTCTGTTCAAATTATTAGGAGTGGTCTAATGAAATGGACTTGGATATGCACAAAATTATCCGTTCAAACCTAGAAAAAGAGAGAGAAAAGAGAGAGATTTGTGTGTTTATATATTGATCTTGATGCCAAATAAACTTCTCAAACAAGTTTTTTAGCATTTTCAAATTGAGGAGGGATATTCTTACTATCAATTTTTTTACTATCAACTCACTGTCTATCTAATCACCAGTTGATCAATATTTTTTTTTTTCAAAATTTTTTTAGCATTCTCTCTCTTTGATTCAATGATGATTAGATAAATAGTAAGTTAGTAGTAGAAAATAAATTTTGGTAGTAAGAATATTTTTCTTCAAATTAGATTGAATTTTTTTTATGTCAAATAACACATCAAACTTATAACTTATATGAAAACGAGTTAGATTGAAAAATAATTATTTCAAATAACACATCAATGTTATATTTAAAAACCATATGTAACCGTTTACCAAAAAAAAAAAAAAAACCATACGTAACCTAACTCGTTTTCATTAACTTGCATAGAGTGACGACTTGCGAATAACATGCATCTGCACCGTTCATTGAGAATTCGCCTTATCCAACGATCAGTGTTGTTGTGCCTGTACCGGTCTTAGTCACGAATGATATACCAGAACAAAATTGTGAAGAGGAGTTGAGGTGTCTTTCCTAATCAAAAGTCAAAAACAAAAACCCACAGTCCCATACGAGCGTGAGCCTGACGCTTTTTTTTTTTTTTTTTAAAAATAGGTTTGGTCCTTTCGACTAAACCGCCAAAAAAAAAAAAAAGGAATTGGCAAATTGCAAAGTAAAGCGTAGATTGTGGCGAATGTGGGACGAGCAACAGCAACATTTCTTTGACCCACTGCGAAGGATTCTGATTCCAACTAATATATTATCAAAATGAAAATAGGAACGTAAAAAAAAACATATATTATAAAAAGAATGGTATATGGATATGATTTGAGAGAGCGTTATCGATTACACAGACACAGGTTTGTGTCGATGTGTGGAATGTGGATAGTTTAGCTTAGTTTGGCTTCTGCATTGACTTTACCGCGCGAGAGAGAGCGCGTCTTCCAAGGACAAATGGCGGGTTGTGTGGGGGATAAGTTAAGAGTCCACATCAGCATCTTTTTGTCCTTCTTTGCTTAGAATCTTCACCATACCATACAGAAGTAGAACTACCTAGTCCAACATAAAGAGCTGCATTCTTGTTTCTTGTGGTGGGGCACGGTTTCCATTTTCACCACCAAGGTTTTTTTTTTTTTTTTTGCTACCCGCTCAAGTTAATTTTTGCCCTTTATTATTATTTTTTAAATGTTTGGGGGAGGTGGCATGAAGTGGAACATTATAAAACAGAACATTGCAAACAAAAAAATAATAATAAAATAGTAAAAACCCATAGTTGGGTGGGTATCTACAAGAATCTTTACATGGGTGAGAGTTATTCGTGTTCCTTTTCTGCTCAGCTTTACATCATCATTATTCACTAGGTTTGGTCCCTCTCTCTCTCTCTCTCTCTCTCTCTCTCTCTTTCTCCTTACAAAAAAGATTCGTTTCATTCTCAAGGCCTGGAATATTGTTTCCTGTAAAGTGTGTTTATTTGAGTTGACAGTGTTGGCAAGAGAATCTTCCTCAGCACGGCTTCCATATTTCTGGTTCAAATCTCTTTTCTTTTTCATTTTTGCTTTATGGATTTAGACTTTTTTTTTTTTTTTTTGAAATGAAAAAAGAAGAAGAAGAAGAAAGAATCACCTAATCTAATAATCATCATTTTGTCTCTCTGTTTCTTATTCCTCCCAAACTATTCGTTGGCAAGATTTCTGACATTATTGACAACTTTGGACACAGGACAACCTTTGAAGAAGACTGAAAGACAGATATTGCCTACGCTAAATCATACCCTCTTTTGACAAGACAAGATTTTTTAGATCTGTTTGGCGGTTGAAACTTTTCCATCAAGATTCTATCGACAGCAAGTGTGGTTTTTGGGAGAAAGAAGCAGAAGCAGAAGCAGCTATCCATCATGGGAGATGATGATGCTATGACATCTTCTGGTACCATGATGGAAGCTCCACCTGATGGAACAACCTCAATGGATTTTGATTACATGGGTGAACTTTTCTTAGATGGTTGCTGGGTGGAAACCTTTGCTGATGGATCTGATATGTTGATGCAAAGTCCTTCTTTTTCAAGCCCTCTCTTTGACTCTTCATTCTCTTGGCCTCCCTTGGAGACCAACGAGCCACCCCACAATGGTGAATCTCAGGAAGAAGCTTCTTTTGGCAACCAACCAGTTTGTCAGAACATAATTGATGTTGCTGGTAGTTGTAATCAGGAGTATCGGTCTGAAATTCATTCAGTTGAAAGTGCTTCTGAAGTGGTCAGAAGGTGGTGGATTGCACCCACACATAGTCCAAGACATGGATCTTCTGTAATGGAGAAGCTAATAAGGGCCCTCAAGGGGATAAAAGATTTCAATAGGAACAAAGATATGCTTATACAAATATGGGTTCCAGATAATAATAGATGGGGTGAACAGATTCTGATAGCTAATGAACTTCTCTTCTCGCTTGAAAGCAGGTCTGCTAATCTTGCAAAGTACCGAGAAATCTCTGTGAGATATCAGTTTTCAGCAGAGGAGGACTCGAAGAGGTTGGTGCCGGGATTGCCTGGACGAGTTTTTAGGGGTAAGGTTCCTGAGTGGACTCCTGATGTTCGATTCTTTAGGAGTGATGAGTACGCACGAGTTGACCATGCTCAAGAGTATGATGTGCGTGGAACATTGGCACTTCCAATCTTTGAACAAGGTAGCAGGACTTGCTTGGGTGTTGTTGAGGTTGTGATGACTACCCAGCAGATCAACTATGGCCCTGAACTTGAGAGTGTTTGCAAAGCACTTGAGGTTTTTCTCCTTGTTTATTTGCTTAAAATTCTGTTGTGTTTTCTGTACGTAAATATCCCAAGAAAACTTGAATCAGAGAACAATGATATTCAGTTGCTTTCAGCATGCCATTTGATGTTTCTGAAGGGATAAACTGCACTTGTTCTTTATTGCTCAATTTTTTTTTTCTTTCTATATCCCTTTTGTCCAATCAATAACACCCCCAGACCCCCCCAGGAAAACATATCCTGGTCTTGTTTGCAAACCCGTATTTGATCGGTAATCTCATGTTTTCTCTCTTGTGATTGAGTTGCTCTTCTTTACATGTTTCAGTATAAATGCTTATGGCAACGAATGTTAAATTAACATGCCACATATGAAAAGCTCATCCAAACTCATTAATATTAGTTTAATGATTGGAGGAAAGTTGTTAACTTGCAGGCTGTTGATCTTAGAAGCTCGATACATTCAAGTTTTCAGAATGTGAAGGTAAATTGAAAATCATTGCCGGGAAATATTTTAATGATCTCAAGGTCTCAATTTCCTTGTTACAACTGGTTTTATTTTAGCAGGCATGCAACAAGTCCTATGAAGCTGCACTACCCGAGATTCAAAAGGCGTTGAGATCTGCATGTGAAATGCACAAGTTACCTTTAGCTCAAACATGGGTCTCATGCATCCTACAAGCAAAAGGGGGGTGTAGGCACTCTGAAGATAATTATTTACACTGTATATCTCCTGTGGAGCATGCTTGTTATGTTGGTGATCCCTCTATCAGGTTTTTTCATGAGGCTTGCACCGAGCATCACTTGTTAAAAGGTCAAGGTGTTGCTGGGGGAGCTTTTATGACAAATCAACCACGCTTCTCAACTGACATAACTTCCTTAAGCAAGATAGACTATCCACTGTCTCATCATGCAAGGTTGTTTGGATTGCGGGCTGCGGCTGCCGTACGCCTCCGAAGCATCTATAGTAGTACAGATGACTTTGTTCTAGAGTTCTTCTTGCCTGTAAATTGCAATGACAGTGAAGAACAGAAAAAGATGCTTACTTCATTGTCCAAGATTATACAAGGAGTCTGCCATAGCTTGCGGGTTATAACAGATAAGGAATTAGAGGAGGAAACTAACTTACCAGTTGATAAAGTGATAGCCCTTCCAGACAATGGCTTTGCTAGGACTGAAATTTGGTCGGAACTCCAACACAGAGTGATGGTTTCCTCATTGGATACTGAAGAAAAATCAAGTGAAACAATGGGTACAAAATTCTCTGACCTGAGACAGCAACAAGAAAATCCTATTTTAAAAGGAAACCTTGACTGTGTTAGGGAATGTTCTACTTTTGTTGAGGGTAACTTATCAAGTGTGGGAATAAGTAAAACGGAAGAGAAAAGAAGGGCCAAAGCAGAGAAAACTATCACTTTGCAAGTTCTTAGGCAACATTTTGCTGGAAGCCTAAAAGATGCTGCGAAGAATATTGGTGGTAAGCCTTGTACACAGTCTGATATATTATTAATTTTAATTAGCTCTGCCTATAAGGGAAGAAAAGAAAAAGCTTTGATTACAGTCGCATTTAGTCATAAGTGTTCGAAAATCAAGTGTGAAGGAGTTTTGCATTGATTGGGAATGGGCTGAGTTAGGACCATATAACTGTTAGGCGGTTAGGATTAAACCCAAAGTGGGTGTGTTCAAGAGCACATCTTATCTCAAAACCTTAAGACATTAAGTCTATGGTTCTTTTCACTTATATGTTTCTTGCTTATTCCATTTCTACCCAATGCGAGACTTTATCACTCACACTTGAATTTTCAACAATCTCATCCTCAAGTGTGAGTTCTAATATCTATCAACTCCCCCTCAAACGGAAGCTTATTTGAGTATTCACGGGATTGTTAACCAAGTGGGTCAAGTCAAGCAAAAACTTCTTCGAGTATTCACTGAGTTATCAATCAAGAGGGTCAAAGTCAAGACTCTACAACATGGGTTTGGCAGCTATCAAACCTAAACACCAACCACTATCTCCAAAAACTTGGTCCAGCAAGCCAATTATCTAGCACAGACCAAATCATTGGCTCTCATATAACTATTATGTGCCAAGAATGTTGGGGGACTCTTGATTTTCCAATAATAAGTGCAGAGCGGCATATGCAAGTGTCTTAGCGGTTAGTTTTTCTTGTGTGCAATCTATTAGAAGTCTTTCATTAAAACCATGTTTTGAATTAAAATTTGCAGTTTGTACCACAACTTTGAAAAGGATCTGCCGGCAACATGGGATAAAGCGTTGGCCTTCTAGAAAGATAAAAAAGGTTGGTCACTCCTTACAGAAACTTCAACTTGTCATTGACTCAGTTCAAGGCACCTCTGGTTCATTTCAAATCGATTCCTTCTATTCAAAATTCCCGGATCTGGTAGCTTCTCCAAGTTTATCAGGAACCAACCCATTCTCAACTTTGAATCATAGTGATAATAATATGAACTCATTAAGCACACAGCCAGATCCTAGCTCGTTGAGCCCAGAAGGTGGTGCTTCAAAATCACCCTCTTCTTCGTGCAGTCAACATTCCATTTCAAGCCATTCCTGTTCCATCATGTCAGAGCAACAGCATCACACAAGTAATGCTGCTGGTAACACAGATCCCATGGTTGGTGAAGATTCTACTGTTGGGGTGTTGAAGAGGATCAGAAGTGAAGCAGAGCTTAAAAGCCTGAATCAAGATAGAGAAAAGCTCTTGCCAAGATCCCAAAGCCAGGAAACACTTGGTGAACATGCTAAAGCTGAGTATCACCGACCCTTATTAAAAACTCAAAAGGAGGATGCTCAGAGAGTAAAAGTTACATATGGAGATGAGAAAACCCGGTTTAGAATGCCAAAGAATTGGGGTTACGAGGATCTTTTGCAGGAAATTGCTAAGAGATTTAACGTTAGTGACATGAGCAAATTCGATATCAAATATTTGGACGATGACTCTGAGTGGGTATTACTAACCTGTGATGCTGATTTAGAGGAGTGCATTGATGTTTGTCAATCTTCTGAGACTAGTACAATCAAACTTTGTCTACAAGCTTCTAGTCATTGTATCAGAAGTTCTTTAAAATTTAGATAGCAGTTGCCTTTTCTGATTGTAAATTATAAGTTCCTTTGTCATGTATGTGAGTCTTAAAAGTTTCTAGTTTAAACTTTAAAGGCACCGATTCTTTTTTTGAAGAAATTTATTATTTCGCCATACTACGAGGATAAACTTTTGTTTGAGGGAAATAACGTTTCTCACGTTAGAAGAGATAAAATTATGTTTTATACATACATAAAAGTGTATGGGGTGTTCATGTAGGGTTATATAAAAAGAAAGAGACAAAAAAGAATGTGGATCTTACATATTTTTATGTATGTAAAAGATGAAATTATCTCCTACAATATGAGAAACATTAATTCTTATACTCGAAGCAATAAGTTGGTTCAACTTTTGTTTTCTTAGTATAATATTAGGAAAAAATGTTTATCCTTTTAAATGACACAACTTATATCATTTCACTCTCACAAAGAGGTGGGACCCACACCTTTATTTTTTTTGTCAACTCTCTCTCTTCCTTTATCTATCTCTTTCTCTCTCTTAAAATGACACAATTTTACATCCTTTAAAATGACACACACTTTGCCCATAATATTATTAGTAAGATTTGAATCTCAGTTTGAGTTTCTCTAGTTAGGGCTTGTGTAGTGGATTACCTGGACGGCTTAACTTATATCATTGTTTAGATGAAGGTTTGTTTAGGTCCGTCGCACTTTTGGATTTCTTTTGGGAGAAATAATCCGAAGGCAAAAAAGAATATATTGACATTTTCATGCACACATCATCATTTATTCATTTATTTTAACAGAAACTCCAAAGGATTCGTTAATTGTTGTTTCCAACGCGGCAATCATGTAGCTGTCGTATCCATTACTTGTCTCCATCACATTTCCACCGGATGATCTATGTCCATGACTCACTTGCAACCTTGGTATCTTACTTAACGAATTATTAGCTGCTTTCCGATTGGAAGTCAGTAATTCATACACGTGAGAAGACAGAGAAGAAGCAAGTGACAGTTTACGGTGTTTGCAAATTTTTTGATAAATATGCTTTATTGTTGAAAAATAAGGAGCTTAACTGCAACAAACAATAGAAAGGACAAGATGATTTTTTGACACATGACTTTAGTACAAGGAGCTAATGTATAATTTAGAGAAAAAATTAACAGAAACATTCAAATATTGGAGAATGTATTTTTTTATTGTAATCTCTAAAAGATATAAGATTAACTAATACTAATGTTCAATAATCAGATGGTTAATATTTTTAGAATAACTAAATTAATTAATATTTATAGATTTTTAAAATTGTATTTATAACAAGATTTGAATTTGGGGTTTATTTTATTTTTCCCCCCATTGTTGATAGTACTTGTTGTTCTGACAGTACTTATATAGAGATTAAAAGGCATAGCTAACTGTTACCCAAAAAAAAAGGCATAGGTAACAAGCTTCAAATCTGACTAATCTAAACTATATCTTAGCACTATAATATGTCATAAACATCTATAATATGTCATAAACATAATGCATCTGAGGAATGAAGGCTTAACTTATCAAGAAAAAGACCAAAAATCAGTTATTGGCGAAAAACAAAAATCTGGGAAGACTTGACCCAAAGGAAACATCAGCCACTACCAATGAGAACACTCACATACTTTATTTCGAGTTTTAAGAATATTATATTACTGTAAAATATGTTGATTACATTCTATATCTCAAATAAGAAGGGAAAAAATACTTTGCCAAAAAAAAAAGGAAAATAAATATAACATTGAATGAGTTACAATTGTGTCCATTCAATTCTGCTTCATTTCATCATTTCTAAAAAATTCAAACAATGAAAATGAATATCATTTCAATACCCCCATTTCATTCTATTCTATCACCCCATATCATAATATAGTTAGCCTCGATGCCAGAATCTGGATATTTATGCAGAGCAAAAGGAGGCAGAATTATGCGGACCATCAAACCATGCTGCTCAGCTAAGAATTTATCTAGTGCATGAAAAATCCATACTGTCATACATCATAATGTTTCTCACACATCATATTCAAAATGTTAACAAGAGAAATAGTAATAAAACTGAAGAGGGAAAGATAAATCTGCCTCCTAGTTGAATGTGACATACAGCTTACAACTGTCCGAGAGTGTTTACCATCATTTTCCCCTGGAATTTATAAGAGGAAATTATTTCACTTAAATTTAGAAAAAGAAAACTACTAAAAAGATGAGAGTACAATTTTCATTTCACTTACGTGTTCATCATTAAAGTTATGTTGTCTCCTTTAAGAAGGATCCTCCCTAATCAAAACAATAATATCACGAAATGCATGAGTATGTAGCAAGGGCAAAAAGAACAAAAATTGAGAAACTTTAGCATACCTAATGTCTTTCTACTCTTTTTCTTGACGTTCACTTCTTCAGCATCATCTAGAACTAAATTCATGTATTCATCAAAACCCTGATTAAGAAACAATAAAATAAAATGATCCTTAACCATCTGATCAAATATTCAACTTTTTAAATGAGGGTATGCTGTGTACAATGACAACAACTAAGCTTTTTCCTCCTCGATATGAGCTCATGAACCAAAAAGTTCACATAAAATCCTGAAGTCGACAAATTTTAGATCAGACTGTTATAGATATAGCTCACATCACACAAAGCAGGAGAACAATCCTAACTACTCGTACTCTGGTCCGGCCGGATGGTCCTACCCCGCTAGCTCAAATAGCTCCTCGGGCACATGGAGCACATAACTCCCTTACACACGTCCCCTCACGCTCCCCATGCACGCATGACCCTTTACAAGTCATAGGTCACGCAGTCTCACGCCTAATAGGGCCCACATGGCTGGAAACAATTATGGCATCACGCTTTGCGCACTTGGAGGGAATATCCAACCTCCTATATAAAGGAACCCTAGCTCCCTCACTATGGATCTTCTCCATTTGCTCTTCATAGTTGTTACTCTACTGAATTCTCACCTCAGACATAACACCTCCCCCCTTAGCACCCTCAGTTAGTCTGAGGCTAGTACGGTGGAACCATGAAGAGATGAATACTTTCCATCTCTTAGAGTCGACAAAACACAATTTTGATGAGTACCCATGTAACAAACAAGCATGTAAAATAAAACTTACAATGATTCGACCCTCAATCCTCAAATCCTTTTGCTCAAAGAGCCAAATCTGAATGCGCGCTTTCTGTGAAAATTACAATTACAGAAAGAATATCAAGTTAGACAAAGAATAAGGGAAAATAGGGGAAGTCCAGAACGAATCATCAACCGAAAGGAGTGTAGTGTAGGTAAGGACTTACGCTTTGAAGGAACCTGAAAATCAAGTTCTGAGGAAACCAGGAAAACAATGACGTTAGGTTAAAGCAAAATAAAAATCGAAAGAGAAAAAATGTTTGAGAGACATACAATGGGCTGGGTCATAACCCTCTGAACTTTGGTGCTCGCCATGGCTGCCAAAGTCAATGAACGAATTGCACGGAGAGTGGTTTAGTTCGCACTTGCAGAGACGGACCTAAACCCTAAATTGCACGGAGACTGGACAATGAAATTTTTCACTACCAGGTTTGATGCTGTAATTATATCATCAGAGGTTGTATAAGAAAAACCAGACACAAGTATATTCTAAATATACACCGAGTCAGATGTACCAATTGACATTTCTAAAGATGTTATTGTTATCTAAATTATACTCCCTATTTCTTGATATGTGAAAATATGAACTAAAAAGATTGCTTGACAGTGCTCTGTTTAATACTGTACATAGGTAAATGTGAAGAAGAACACACACACACACACAAACATTGGCTATGAGTCTATCAGACTATGACATTGGTACTAGAAAAGACACATCAACTTACTCAGAACTCAATCTAAAAACAAAGATCCAATATAAATTAACCCTCGTTTTAAAATCATATAAACTAAATCAGAACTCAATCTAAAAGGAAACAGCCCAATATATGAATAATACTGCACACAATGAAAATAACCAAAGAAGGAAGCCAACCCTAATAAGTGTAACAAAAAAGCATAGACTATGAGCTTTTTTTTCGAAAAAAAAAAAAGACAAAAAAAATGGCAGAGTTGAATTGAGAGAGGCAAACCAAGTTGTGGTTGGGTGGCCGGCGACGTGTTCGTGAACAGCTCCGGCGGTGCGCACAGCAGCGGAGACGGGGGAAAAGAGTATGTGTCGGCGGGGAAGAGAATGAAAAGAAAATAAGGGTGCGTTTTGGGCTTCTTTAGGCCACTGAACCACTTTTCATTCTTTATTTTTTTTTAATTCAAAACTTAAAAAAAAAAATGAATAAAAAAATGTATGTGACGAGACAATAAACTGATGCTTTATTATTGAGTTACACAAAAAACCCAACAACTGACGCACAAGATTGAACTATTAAATTATGGGAGATTATTCTCTTATTTTATATGAGATAACTATCTTATGTTATTCTTATATAAAAGGTTGTGTTACCACTTTTTTTTTTAATGAATGGTGGATCGATCAGATCATATTTCTATGATAAGAGATACTTATATCTAATAATATAAGAAAAATAAAGCTCTTAAATTAAGATTATAATCCATTTATTAATCTAATTTTTAAATCAGCCTATACCAGACTCTTAAGTAAAAAGGTTGGTTCAGGCTAGGCCAATAAAAGGCCAAACTGCAGGCTTTGTAAGTCGATCCAGCGCAATATCACCCCTAATTATTGTTAGCGCTAGTTTGAATTGCTTTATTAAAAAGGCAATTTTTATGCCTCGCTTCTTTTAGAATTGTTTTTTATAAAAGTTAGAGTTATTTAATATTTAATTTTTTAAAAATATATTTGACTTTTGACTTCTGCTTATTTTGAAAGTTAAAAATTTTTGACTTTTTTTGTGACTTCTGTTTTTTTGTTAAAGCAGACATCCAAACAGAATTTTTGTATAAGTTCTTTTTTAAAAAATAAAAAAAAAACACACACACACAGCTCTTGGCTTAAAAAAACTCATCCAAATAGGCACTTAAACTCTTTACACTATCTAATTTCAAAATAAAACATATATGTAAAATTTTTTGCAAACACCGTTAACTGTCACTTGCTTCTTCTATGTCTTCTCCATTAACTCTAATTATACACATAAATTTAATCATGTATTTTAAAATGGGAAAGGTTATATTTACAAATTTTTTATTTTAATCAAGAGTGTATAGCCGGTCATACTTAAGTGTAATCTGTAAAAAAAATTTGTAAACGGAGATAACTTTGTTTAATGTTCACCGAAACGATGTCGTTTTGCGGCAAAAATATGATGTATTTGTAATTTTAATTTATTTCAGGGTTATATTTTTTAATTTTTCAATCCCAAAACGATGTCGTTTCACTGATCATTAGAAAAAATTATCTAAAGTAATATTAGATACTTTTTTCCCTTAGTTAAAACCAATGCTTTTTATTTAAAATTTAACTTAAAAAAACACTCATTTTCTCTTTTTCATGATTTTTATTGTATATATCTTTCTCTCACTTAAAATGACAAAAAGAACAAACATCAATCCCAATAAAACTCTTTTATTAATATTAAATATTAAATAATTTTAAAGTGAAAATGAATTAAATTAATGTATATAAATTAATTTGTCACGTCTAATTAACTTTAACTATTGTAGTGCATGATTAAAGGAGCAAATAGCATTAAAAATGAAAAAATAAACGTTTGTCATTTTAAATAACACAATTTTATGTCATTTTTAATGAAATTATGTCATTTTGGTATGTTTTTGCATTCTCTCTCCTCCCTACCCCCGGATAATTTTATAAAAAAGAAAAATGTAAAAAAAATACTAAAAACACACAAAACAACATATTTTCATTAAAAATAACATAAAGTTATCATTTAAAATGACAAACACTTAACTCTTAGAAAATATTATTAAACTTTTATTTTATGAACGCATATATCACCTGAAAATTCGTGACTGCTGACCAGTATTACTAAAACATGCTCAACTCCGCCCGTCGAACCGGTTGAACCGAGACTTGAAATCCTAACCGATTCGGTTCAGTTAATTAACTGGTCATGCATGTAACCCGGTCAAAAATCAGTGAACCGGTAAAAACCCGAGTTCAACCGATGCGTATTGATTTTTTGGTTGAACAATTTTTAGAAAATTATGGCAAAATATTCAACCATAATTGTACTCCTAATGTTCAAACTAGACACCTAAGGAAAGTAAAGCGACATGCTAACATTGAGCCAAATTACTTTGGTTATTTTATTACTTCTATTGATATATTTATTATATATCTTTACATAAATTCAATTAAGCGGTTGAATCAGTTATCCAATATCCCGATTCGGGTTTAATAACATCGCTACTTACTAGTGTTGTTAATATTTGGAGTGTTTTCTTAATACATTATAGGGGTTCTATTTTCTCATGTTGCTAAAGATATATATCTTATGCTAACACATAATATGATGGAATCTACCACAAATTAAAAAACACAATGGCAAAATTTTTAATATGAGAAAAATAAGAGATAATTTTTTTGTGTAAAATAAGAAAATAGTTTCCATACATTATATCATAGGAAAATCATTTTCTCCTATTAGAGAAGAAAATAACCCCTATTATCTTGTGTCAGACGCAGAAGAGTAATTTTCTCGGTGAAAACTAAACCCCTATATCATATTAGCTAATTAAGTCGTCTCATATGCTCTTACGTCACGGACTGCAGTGCCCCTTTCTTGCTTTCAAAAGATGGAAAATGACTAGGGATTTTGCCGCATTTATTTCTGTCAACTTTCGAGCAGTTACACTACCGAAGAGACATTGCTGTTGGAATCTTTTTTAACTGAAGATTCAAAACATTATTTATTATCGAAGCGAAAGTGATCGTACTGATAATTATTTAGGTGTGCCATACTATAAGGTGAAAATGGAGAAAATTTTCCCAAATCGTTTTAATTATTTAGCTTTTTTCTCCCACAAACTATCATTTTGATTTGATTTTCATAAACTATCACCTTAGCTTTACATACAAGAGATCATTAAATGGATATATGAGTCACGGTACAGAAGTTGAGGGGCTGATAAGTCAAAATTGGTGTACTTCCTATCTTCTTTTTCGCCTAAAACATTATGCACTTTACAGAAATACTTGTGGACGATCTATCATCCAATGCCTGTAAGTTTATAACTAGCTACGAAGAAGCTGATGAACGATTTTCCCCTTGCTCAGTGATTGTACATCTTGAGGGTGGACCAAAGATGCTTAATACCACCTGGCAGCAGACAAAAAAAGAGAGCATGAGAATATGTTTTCGATTTCAAGAACAAATTTCAAAGATAGAAACCAACATGTATTAAACGTTTATTAGTTAGTTGGCTGTGTCAAACAAATTTGACACAAATAAATATCCTTGATAGGAAAAATAAAAAGCAGAAAGATACACATTAAGACTTTATCATTAAAAAAAGCTAATAGGAAGCAAAGTAGAACCACTCAAAAATCCGGTGATTCTTGACTACTGACAAACAATAGAATTTGTTTAAACTAAGACAATTAAGTCTAGGGAATAAAGTTTCGTTATGCACATTCTATCATCGATTTGCTGAGAGAATGTACATGGTCATTTTTTTAAGTACATGTATCTTGTCAATTGTAAACATTTATTGGTTGATAATTTTCAAACTAAATGCTTGGAGTCCATCAAGTATAAACAAACAGCGATTTAGTTACAGGTCCTTACAAAAAGGATTTGGATCTTCTAGAGTTATGGTGCACTTTAAAAAGTGAACAACAACACACAAGATAAGAAAATCGATGGTTTAGAATTTTATAAAATACAAGCACTTGGATAATCATGTATATGTGCAAATCTACTCCCTCAAATTTTTTCATCAGCAGTTACTATATGTACTTTAATTTCCACAAACCACAACCTACACTTGGATCGAAATTCTTATGGGGGAAAAGTATGAAAATCGGAGTGATCCCCAATATATAATTACAAAAAGTTCTAATTGGAGGTTGGTCAGTGACAGCAGGCAAAAGCATTGGACAGCTGGCATAATGTCCCAGGGGGATCACATGAATGATTATGGTCAGAGACTTGGCTAGTTCATATTACGAGTAATGTATATGTTTTAGTCAAGGAGTCGTGATTTTGAAAAACTTCATATTTTCAGTGTTAAGACAAGTGCTTGATGAAATAGTATCCCCACTCAATACAAAAAAAGTAGCCTAATGTAGTAGTGTAACTCAGTCACAGCTTTTCTGGCGCTTTATCCTCTCAATGCATTTTCATTAATCAAAAAGACAAATTAAGAAGGAAACAACACTAACCGGCAAGAAAACAAGTCCGTGCAGAAAACCAAGAAGTACTAATGACAAGTACATCTGAAAGTAATAAATCTGCAAAACGCAAAGGTTAGTTATCACAAAGTAATATAATATACACATATATATCACAGTCCGACCATAAACTAAGTGTGAACTTATAATACCACAAAAACTTCTGTTCTTGAGAAGCAAAGAACAATAACTCCGACCAGCTTTGTTAGTGTGATACCACTGCAATTGCATAAAAAGTGGAAGCTATTCAGAAAATATATCATACATAAATTCAAGACAAAACAATATATGAATGCAGATGTAGATGTGCACAGTGACCATGAAATTGGTGTCAAAAACAGTACAAAGTCTATCATGGAAATGTATTGAAAAGCAAACTGGAGGGAATAAATTCCTGATTTTGTAAAAAGTGATCACTAAGGGTCCTTCATAGCCAGGAATCTACTATTCACTATTTCCTATACAGAATTAGTAGCTGCACCAAAGAGCAGCATGAAGAATATTGACTTTTTCCCTTTGCTGTGCGCATACACGTGTGCAAGTCAAGAAATGGAACAATAAATTTCTGCTAGCACAAAATCACCTGAAGACTGAAGCACCCATCGTGCCCAGTGCCTCCTTAGTACGTTGTTCTTTATCTCCACTTGTTACCTGTAATAAGTTACGGAATTGGTAGAAACTAGTTCATAAAGAAAAAAATGATCAAGTTATGCAGTTCAAGAATTACAGAATTAGGTGATATTGCTAATATTTTTAGTTGAAAATATGCACCAAAATACAGGTATACTATACTAAGAAAAAAATAAAATAAAATATATATATATACAAAATCACACACACACACATGCAGTGTGCTACTAACCGTGAAAGCATGAGTCATATGCACACAAAACTCAACAGCAATT